ATCATAAGAATTGTAATGCGATTTTAACTACTTTGTAGTATTAACTTAAAGCTTAATTTATTAAGATAGTAGCTAATAATTACGCTAGAAGAGCTAATTTTTCTAAAAATATTATTTTAAGTTTAAATATTAAATTAGCTTCCTGAGATTGGGAGAAAACGAATAGTTCAAAAAAAATTATCTTACATAATTGATGATTTATCCATTATTATTGTTATATTCTAGAGTACTATAATGTATTCTATTATCAATTATAAGTGGCTCCTAAAATAAATTGTTTTTCTAAATTATACCAATTATATATATCATAAATACTTTATAATATCCATTTATTTGATGGCATTTTTATACTTTTTAATTACCATATATGTAATATTAAAAATTAAATCAAAAACAACAAGTAGTTTAATCATTTACTATGGAGTATTCAAGATTCATAAGCTGGATGGGAACTTTTCTTTTTAAGAATTGTTTGCGTCTATGATAGTATAGATAAGTTGACCTTTAATACTATCATTGAATAAATTAATTTAAGTTTTTTTTAATTGTTGGAAGTTTATAATCTAGATTATGCTAATTTTTAATTTCTGTTAATAATTTTAATTCGACAATTGGAGGAATATTTATAGATTGAGTTGCTTTGAAAAATAATGTTATTATGATTAATTGCTATATGCTTCATTTACTAAAATATATTAACAAGAGTAGGAACGATAAAGAATCATAATGCCGATTCTAATCCATTGATGTTTATTTATTCACTTGAACTTTCATTTTTTTTGTTTCAAGAAACTTTTTAATCATTTGATTATATTTTCTTAACTTTTTAATAATTACTAAATATATTAAATAATTAAAATTTATATTTTAAAAACAATGACCAAATTTCTTTTTACTTCAAAAAATATTAATTTATTTTTGATAAGTTGATAGATTATTTGATGTTAAATTTCTTTAAATAATAATTTATTATATTTATTAATTACAGAAGGATGAAAAATTTTAATTTTATTATTTAATTAACAAGCCTTGTTAATTGTGATTTATTCTTTTTTTTACTTAAAAAATTTTGTTTTTGATAATAATGCGAAAAAAGGTGAAGTATTATTCTGAAACTATTAATTCCTATCATTAATTTTAATTTTCCTACTAAGTCACTGGAAATTATTGATAATTATTAAAGTGCTCATTAATTAAAAAAAATATTAATCTTATGAATTATTTATTTTTGATTTATATCATCTTGGTTCCAAATGTCCTTGGGATGTTTTGTAACTATTATCCTTTGGATGAAATCGCTTGTATATAAAAAACTAAAGAAGTTTCATGTAGTAATTATATTAAGCTAAGGTTAATTCAACTATTTTGAAAATGCTTGTGTGGAGACTAAAAGTACTGATTTGGGATGTCTTCCTAATTTGAATTAATAAGCTTGTATGCAATAATAAAGAAATATAGAAGGCAAGGAAGTTAAATGTAATTTTTAATACTAGAATTAGGTTTTTTTAGAAAGAGATGTACATATGCAAATGAATTTCATCTTAAGTTTTTAGATTGTAGATAAAACTTTTCAATCTATGCTTGTGTAAATTTAAAAGGAAAAAATTGTATTTGGTCAAATAATGTTTGCATACCTAATGATAGCGTGATTCCAAAGGGAGATTCTTGCGAAACTATCTTTAATGCACCTGTTACGTCAAATTTATGCGCTTAAATTTAGGATCTATTATGTAAAACTCAATATATAAGCATAGGCCAAAATAACGGGTTCGAGGGCGGATATTTTTGTGAGTAGGTAACTGAAATACAGTTATAGAAATATACATGCGATACTTTGGGATTAAGTAAAGGAGCATGCGTTGGAATCCAGACTAAGGGATAAAGATGTAAAATGAAAATATATATTTTTTAGGCATATACAAAAATAATGTATGTAAAGAATTCAAAATAGAAGATGAAATAAGTTGTTTAAGTTATTTAAACAGAGAAGCTTGTCTTAGTATTTAAAATCCATAATTATTGTGTGTTTGGGATAATAAAGGTTGTTAACCTTTGTAAATTTTGAAGAATCAGGATTGTGAAAATTTTAAAAATGTAAATCCAAGTGTTTGTAGAGAAATGCCAATATATTGCTTTTATGATGAAATAAATCATTAATGTTAATCTCCAAATTAAAATTAAAAGCAGACTTGTAATACTAAGGGACTTAATAAAATTGGCTGTATAAGTATTAAAAACTAGAAATGTATTATATTAATAATTAAATATTTAGGTATATATTTTAGCGAAGAAGGATGTTAAGAAGTCAAGGAAGATTTATTAAATTAAATTAGTTGCACTGATTCAATTAATGAGGAAGCTTGTATCAATGTTAGTACACCATTTTAATATTGTTAATGGAATGGTAATGAATGCATAAGAATACCTTTGAATTAGGATTTAAATTGTCCATTACCAGAAGAGAATGGAAAATTTTATAAAGTAAATGGAAATGTTTGTTAAGCAATATCAAAATAGAATGTAGGTTGTAAATATAATGAATAAACACGATTATGTTAGAGTAGTACAGGATAGGAGATATGTACAACTCCTTATTTAAATTTGTCTGGTTGTGTTTAGATTTCATAAGCATTGGCTTGTAGTTGGAATGAAGAGATGAATAAATGTGAAGTGGCAACATTAATTGATTAGGTTACAAAATGTAGTGATTTAAAATATTCAAATCCATAAGCATGTTCTAGGATAACAGAATTTGAAAATGAAAAAGCAGTGGGATGTTATTTTAATAGTCAAACATAATAATGTGAAAAGATTACATAAGAAAATTTAAAATAGATGGAATGTTTATAATAAGGATTAAATAAATATGGATGCACAATGATAACAAAGATTGGATAAAGATGTAGATGGTTTAGAAACAGATGTACAAGCATTAGAAATAAAGAATAGATAGCATAAATCTCATGTCTTGAATTAAAATATGTTAATCCTGGAAGTTGTGGATTAGTAACTTTTTAAAAAGAAGTTTGTAAATATAGCGTGGATGGTTATGGTTGTGCTAACAGTATTAATTCTAGTGAAATTGGAGATTATTGTTATACTTTAGGTTTAAATTCGTTTGCTTGTTCTTAAATCACTAGAAATATAGAGGGATGCTATTTTGATTAAATTAATAATGTATGTTTAACAGCCCCTGATAAGAAATCATCTGATGAAAATGTCTAAGCTGCATCAAGATTATTATTAACTACTGCTAAATGTGTAGCTAGTTCTCCAACTAAAAATATTTGTACTTCAATAGAAACATTAGGAGAATAATGTGCTTGGAATTATAGAACAAGTTAATGCGATTATTAATTTGTTTAATTTAATTAAAAATGTTTAGATTACAATACTATAGAAAAATAGAAAACTATTCCTGGAATATAAATAGCTATTAATGCCAATGTTTGTGCTAGTATTATAATGAATTATGTAATAAATTTATATCTATTATATAGCCTAATAAAAATCCAAAAATTTTAAATTAAGTAGATGATCCACTTAGAGGATATTGTTAATTTGATGGTAAAGAAAATTGTATAAAATTCCTTTAAACACCTTGTACTACTAAATGTTGTACAGAATTAGTTGGAATTAATGCCCATGTTTGTAGTAGATTTACTACTGGATAATATTGTTATTTTAATGAATTTAATAAATGTGTAGAATTAATTGATGATATTGTTGATACCAGCAATTCTTAAGCTGTTAAAGACTATTACAATTTTAAATAATATAAATGTTCATCAATGAATAAAAATTCATGTTGGATGATTGATTGGTCTGCAACATAATAATGTTATTGGGATGGACTTGTATGTACTTAAATTAATTTTGGTGATTATCCTAAATTATTTATATTTGATCGCCGTTATGGAATGAATAAATTTGCATGTCAAGGTATTGAAGGAGATGATAATTATGTAATGAAATATTTTAGATATAATAATTTGAATGTTTGTATTGATTATCCTATTGAAATAACTACTTGTGAAACTGAAGGTATCAATTCAAATGTTTGTCTAAGAAAATCCTTTAATCTTTACTGTAAATGGGATAAAATCAATTTACAATGTGTTACAATAGATGATTACTTATCATTATATACTTGTAATGAATATCAAAATCATAAGGCATGTATCGAAAATCCTTATGCTCCTTGTGCTTTCCTCTTTTCTACAGACAAATGCATCTCTAGTCCTTAAAATATTAATTGTATAGATTTCAATATCCTCAAACCCTATTATGGAGAAGTTAATTAAAAAGCCTGTTAAAATATTACAAAAGGTGGATAAATTTGTTAATATAATGATGTTACTAAAAGATGTATTGAAAGAACAAATCAAACACAACAGGAAAGTTGTGATATACCAGGAATCAATTCGATTGGATGTTATTCACTTACTACAGGATTTTGTAGATGGGATCCAATAAATTTAAATTGTTATGAGGAAGAAGATGATGATGCAATATACACATTAAAATGTTCTGATTACGTTAATAAAAAATTATGCTTGTTAANATTTGTACTTCAATAGAAACATTAGGAGAATAATGTGCTTGGAATTATAGAACAAGTTAATGCGATTATTAATTTGTTTAATTTAATTAAAAATGTTTAGATTACAATACTATAGAAAAATAGAAAACTATTCCTGGAATATAAATAGCTATTAATGCCAATGTTTGTGCTAGTATTATAATGAATTATGTAATAAATTTATATCTATTATATAGCCTAATAAAAATCCAAAAATTTTAAATTAAGTAGATGATCCACTTAGAGGATATTGTTAATTTGATGGTAAAGAAAATTGTATAAAATTCCTTTAAACACCTTGTACTACTAAATGTTGTACAGAATTAGTTGGAATTAATGCCCATGTTTGTAGTAGATTTACTACTGGATAATATTGTTATTTTAATGAATTTAATAAATGTGTAGAATTAATTGATGATATTGTTGATACCAGCAATTCTTAAGCTGTTAAAGACTATTACAATTTTAAATAATATAAATGTTCATCAATGAATAAAAATTCATGTTGGATGATTGATTGGTCTGCAACATAATAATGTTATTGGGATGGACTTGTATGTACTTAAATTAATTTTGGTGATTATCCTAAATTATTTATATTTGATCGCCGTTATGGAATGAATAAATTTGCATGTCAAGGTATTGAAGGAGATGATAATTATGTAATGAAATATTTTAGATATAATAATTTGAATGTTTGTATTGATTATCCTATTGAAATAACTACTTGTGAAACTGAAGGTATCAATTCAAATGTTTGTCTAAGAAAATCCTTTAATCTTTACTGTAAATGGGATAAAATCAATTTACAATGTGTTACAATAGATGATTACTTATCATTATATACTTGTAATGAATATCAAAATCATAAGGCATGTATCGAAAATCCTTATGCTCCTTGTGCTTTCCTCTTTTCTACAGACAAATGCATCTCTAGTCCTTAAAATATTAATTGTATAGATTTCAATATCCTCAAACCCTATTATGGAGAAGTTAATTAAAAAGCCTGTTAAAATATTACAAAAGGTGGATAAATTTGTTAATATAATGATGTTACTAAAAGATGTATTGAAAGAACAAATCAAACACAACAGGAAAGTTGTGATATACCAGGAATCAATTCGATTGGATGTTATTCACTTACTACAGGATTTTGTAGATGGGATCCAATAAATTTAAATTGTTATGAGGAAGAAGATGATGATGCAATATACACATTAAAATGTTCTGATTACGTTAATAAAAAATTATGCTTGTTAATATTAAATGATAATTGTGAATGGTCAACTGTTGATATGAAATGTTCAACTGTAGAACAATTAAAAGTTGTTAAAGCGAACACTTTATATAATGCATAAGCATGTACAAATATAGGTGGAGCTCCTTATTATTATTCAACATAAAATAATTTATGTGAAGAATTGATTCCTACCTAAAATGATTTAAAAAATAATAAAGATTGTACTGCTATGATTATGAATAAAGAAGCTTGTTTATTAAATACTAGAAATCATAGATGTATATTTGATCCAACTTAAATTCCTGAAAAAAAGTGCTCAAATTTAAAATCAGAATAATTAGTTTGTTCATCAACCACTTTAATCAACATTGAGATTTGCATGAACATTCCATCATAATGTTATTTTGAAGTAGTTTCAATGACATGTAAACAAAGAATAATTTAAGATACTATTAATTGTTCAAGCTTAATTGTTGAAGGTCTACATTACAATAAATTATCTTGTTCATCAATTAGTAACACATTAAATGATAAATCTACAGATGACAAATTACAAATTTGTACAAGTACTAATGTTTAAGATAAAGCTTAATAATGTCACTTTGAAAAATACTGTTAATGGGATAGTGTTTCTTATGGATGTAAACTAGTAAAAACAGTTGATGGAAATTATAATGCAGGAGGTAATGGTTAAAATCCATCTTGTTCTCTTTCTTCCAATTCTTTAACTTGTTAAAATACTTATTCAAGAGCTGCTTGTCTTGACTTTGGAAATGGGTGTTACTTTAATATTGAATAAGGAGGTTGTAATAAATATACTGAAAATTCATACAAAGTTCTAGATTGTTCTCAAATTAATTCAAAAGATTGTACAAAAAGTAAAACATTAGTTGCATATTGCAGTTAAAAATAAAATGAAACACCAGATAATGAAATATCACCTGGTTGTTCAATACCACCTATAAATAAAGACTTTTGTGAAAAAGATTCTAAATTCTAAAGCAGTTCTTGTAGTAGTTTAAATAGTTCAACAATTGAAAGTGATTGTGCTTATGCTAGTGATTTTTGTTATTTTGATTCTACTTGCAAAACTCCTTAATCTATTGAATCAATTACATGTACTACACCTGGAGTTAGCAAGTCATTATGTTTATAATTAAATCTTCCATGTGATTTTTCTTCTGGTAAATGTACTCAATTAATTATACCTTCATTAAATACTGATAAATAAAACTATTATTATGTTTGTAATGAAGTAGGTTTATTAACTACAAACAAAAGAGAAGAAGTTTGTGGTAAAATATCAACTGCTTCTTGCAAATTCTAACTTAATTCATGTGAATAAGCCTTTTATGAAGATTGCAATCAACTCATTGAAGTAACATGTACAATTATAGCATGTAATTAATGCTATGGTTTTCCAACTGCTTATGATTATAGTATAAATAAATGCAATAAGATCACTAATTTATCTACAGACTGTGATAATATTACATAAAAATCAGCTTGTTAAGCTTTAGTATAAAATTGTTAATGGAATGATACATCGAATAAATGCCACATCAATTTAAAGAGATTAAATAGAGAAAGTTGTACTTAACTAACTTCTGAAATTTTAGCAATATGGGTTGAAAGTAATAATCAATGTGAGATTAAAACGTAGAATGAAATATAGAATGCAAGTGATTGTTCCATATTAAGTAGAAAAGCTTGCTTAATCCCTACTAAATCATGTTGGGTAAATTCAAGTACTTTATAATGTGAATATGTTACTTAGATAATGGCTACATGTGATGAAATAAATGATTATTAATCATAGAGTCACCATTGTTTAGTTTCAAATAAAGAAGTATGTAAATGGTCAGTATCCTCATCCAAATGTGTAAAACCAGAATTAGATGATAGTTGTGATGTGATGAACAAATATGGTTGTCTAAATATGTAAAAGAATGTAAATTGTGGATGGTCAGACTATTATAAAAAATGCATAACTATATAAGTTAATTTAGGAAGTGGATGTATTTATTATGCCTTAGGAGGGTGGTAATACTACAATCAAGTAAATCCTTATGTGTGTGCATCTCTAACTCTAGGAGCATGTTACTTAGATTCTAAGTCAAATAAATGCATTACTGCTAATACCATAGCATTAAAGTGTAATTAACATAAAGGTCTTAACAAGCTGGCTTGTCTCACCAAAACTTAAGACAATTGTAAATTTGATTCTACAAATTTGAAGTGTATTCCTACTACCAGTTCAGAAATGGAATGTACTGGAGATCAATGTTGTTTAAGTACTTTAAATAAAGTAGCATGTTTATCAATGCCAAATGCAAATTGTTAATTCTATTTGAATACTTGTTCATCTTTTACCTTAAAAACTACAGTTGATTCTGCTAGTATACCCTTACTTCCTTCTTAATTCATATCTCCTAACATCTGCTCTTAATATAATAAAAATATTTCAGGGGCCTATTTTATCTATGATAGAGTTAGATAATCATGTCTCAATATAGATAAAAACAGTCCAGCAAAATACTTTGCTCTTTGTAGATCCATATCTATAAGTGAGAAAGGATGTTTAGAAAAGACTATGGAATATTGTAATTTTAATGATTTATATAAATAGGTTAATATGAGAACGATTCTTGCTAATCATTAGCTATAGAGGTAATAAAAAAATAAACAGGGTGTATTTCAACTTATAGTTGGAAAGCTTGCATTTAACTTAATGCATTTTGTAAATTTTAAGGAGGTAGGTGTATACCAATTTAGTAAAGCGATACTTGTTCTAATTTAAGTGATGCAATAGTTGGACCATAAGTTTGTTCGCAATTTCCAACTCCATGCAAATATGACACATAAAAGTTTTCCTGTATGGTAGTTACTTTGAGAACAGAAACGTGTTCATCTTTAGGACTAAGTAAATCTGCATGTTTAACATATACTTCTACTTCTTTTTGTATTTTTGATGCAATTAGTTATAAATGCAATCCAACTTATGATAATACCTTACCTTGTGAAGACAATAATGTTCCTAAGACTTGGTTTGTAAATTAAACAAAATGTAAATATATCAAAGCATCTGGAAATGTAAATATATATTATTAATAAAAGTATTGTTAATTTGCTGCTGGTGATTTTAGTGAGTGCAAGGCTATACCAGAAAGTTTATTTACAGGTAATTGTAATGTTCCTGATATTGATACAAATCCAATTACTTGTAGGAAAGCAACAAATTAAGTTTGTTTTTATAATACAATTACCCAAAAATGCACATTAGGAGATGTGAATATTATTCCATGGAAACTTGGATTTTCATTTAATAAACTAGCTTGTTTAACATACAATAATCCTTTATTTTAAGTTAAATTAATGTGGGATTATGATAAAGGTTGTATAGAACTAGAATCGAAAGATTTAGCTAATATTTAATGCACATCTCCAGTTAATAGATTAGCTTGTGTTTCAATTACTAATCCAACATAATTTTGCTAATTTTAAATGTCTACATTCAAATGTGAATCATTCAATTATATTATTCCGCCTTCTGAAAGCAAGAGTTGTGGTTCACTAACAAATGTTAATAGATTTGAATTTTGTCAATATTCAAGTGAATCTTGTATCTATAATATAATATCTCGTGATTGTGTTACTACTAATCCTACTAATATTTTAAATACAGGTGATTGTTTTGATAAAGGAATGAGTAAACTTATGTGTCAATAATTTTCAAATAATTGTCAATATAATGATGATCGACGATTTTGTTATGGTGGCAATATTTTTTGTAAAGATAATACACCTCAAACTTGTAACACTGTCAATATGGAACCTTGTTGGATTGTTAATAATTTATGTGTAGGTATTAGTTTTGCAGATCTTAATATTATTGATTGTGAATAAGCTGTTAATAAAATTGGATGTACTTCCATATCAAATCCAATAAAGGTGTGTTAATATGATATCTAAAAATCTGAATGTAAAGAAATAACTACACTTAATAATCCCTGTAAATCATATACCAATGTTAACACTAATAGAGCATGTGAATAAACTATTGATACTGCGTGTAAATTTAATTTCTCAACTAAATCTTGCTAAGAAGTATCTCTTTCAGATGTTTTTGAATGTGATCGAGGATTGAATTCACAAGCCTGCTAAAATTATACCAGACCTTCATTATCATGTAAATTTGGCAAATATTGTTATGGTCCTACTACTGGCATCTCTGAATGTTCACATGCATTAAATAAAGAAGTTTGCTTAAATTTCATCTATTAATGTACTTGGGATTTCCAAAATTCATTGTGTCTCAATTATAACCTAAATGGATAAACTTGCTAAGATCTTTAAAATTAATAAACTGTTGTTTCTAGTAGAGTATGTTACAATGCTTAAGTTCTTGATGGATAAGCATGCGTCTTTGATGTATATACTTTCACATGTAAAATTATTGAACCTTAATCCTGTTTTGAACTTGAATCAGAAGATTAATGCAAATCTTCAAAACAACTTCCCTGTATTTGGCTTAATAGTTTTTGTTAGTTCTTCTAACCACTTTCTACTGATACTTGTGCAACTGTTGCCAATCTAGGATCCAAAAATGCTTGTTTAAGTATTTTTAGAAAGGGTTAATTCTGCTAATACTAAGATTTCAATTGTATACCTTACAAAGAAAGTTATCTAGCAGATAATTGTCTAGATAATATTAATAAAATTGCCTGCATTTCTTAATAAACCAGTTCTTGTATTTGGAAATCTATTTAAAAAGATATTTTCATTAATTAAGAATAAAAAATACCCTTTGAAGAAGGATCTTGTATTAAATTTGAATCCCCTAACTCTTAAGATTGTGATAAAAATCTTAGTTATTAGGCATGTTTATCAATTACTAAATATGGCCAACATTGTAGATGGATTAAAGGGGAATGCAATTAAATATAATAATCATTAGGAACTATTGTTCTCCATAACACATATTAATTGATTAATTCTAATGCTTGTGGGCTTGTTAATCAAGACAAAGTTCGTTATTAAAACCATACAAGATCATGCTAATTAATAAAAGAAACTGAAAAAATTACCTGCAAATGTGGTAAGGAGACCAAAGGCTTGAATAAAGCTGCTTGTTTGAGCATAAAAACTGAAAGTTGCAGATGGATTAGTACATAATCAAGATGTGCAGAATTTCAGAGCTAATGTGATATGAAATGAATCTATAAATATATAAGTTTAGGATTAATTTATTGAATTATATTGGTATAATAATAAATAATATTAATGAAAGTTTCACTTGATCATGATGTATATAAATGGCTCTTGTCACTTACTATTGTTAAGCCTCAATAAATTAAGAACACAGGCAAAGTAGAATTGGATGAGAACCAAAGTAAATTATTTATAAATGGAGTCAAATTTGGAGAAGCATTAAATAAGATGCTTGAAGCAAGATCTATTGTAAAAATTATCTATATATTTAAAGCATGTACCGAATTTAAGTGAACAAATGAAAAATTAACTTACACCAGGTGTAAAATTATTCAATTGGAATATTTTATAAGATGCATTTCAAAAAATTAACTTGCCTTTGGACAATGATATTAAAAATTTAATTGTAAATGGTGATACAGAAATGATGAATGAACTTTTAAAAGATATGATGGAATTAGATAATCAAAACAATAGAAAATAACAAACAAGAGGGTCAGTTAGATCTTCTGAAGATTCCTCTTTTGAAAATTCAAAGAAACCTCCAAGCAGACCAGCATCAAAATTACCTTAAACTAAATATGATTTTTAGGGAAATAACAACGAATTAATTTTAGATGAATTAGATACTAAAAAGCCCTTAAATGAATCTAAGTCTTTACTTGAATTTTTTATTACCGGATTATCTAAACATTTAACATTAAAACCATAATAAGCAGCATCATTATTATCAAATGGTAATAAATATTTAGCTCATTTACTTGTAAAAGGAGTTAAGGGAGAATTTGAAACTTTAATTAATTGGTTAAGTGATATATATGCTAATATATCCAGAGTATTTAATTTTTTAGAATAACAAGATTCAAATGTTCATTATTTTTTTGCTACTATAAAACCAGGACTTTTATCAAAAGAATAAGAAATTACTCTATGGACTTTAAGGATTATGGGCAGAACTTATTTTGAATTATCTGAAATGGAAATGCATCAATTAGGATACGAATGGTTCTGTAAAGAAAATGGAGGTTTGGCAGCAACTTTTTTATGCATGTAAAGACATCCAAATTTATTGAGTTAAATTTGTGAACTATATAGTTAAGTATCTAGATTTAATATGGTTGATTTCTTTACTGTTTAATTCAAAAAATAATTAGCTGATAAATGTGTAGATATGCTAAATTCTTTGATTGAATTTCTATACCAATAGAAAACTCTTAAAGATGAATTAATTTAATAAGGAATTATGCAATATTGGGCTTAGGCAGCATTAAAAATGTCAGATTCTGATTAATTACCTATTAAAATGTAAGGATTAAAATATTTAACATTAAATTGGTTATTATATCCAATATAATTTGAAGAAGATTAAAATTATCCTAATCAATTTTTGTTTTTAATGAAAAAAGGAACTCGAGATTCCTCAAATAATTTGAAATATTTTTCATTAAATATGTTATTTCGTTTACTTGATAAATTAGCAACAGATAGAAATCCATATGCAGCAGTTTTATATAAGAAATTAACATTTACTCTAATTGAAAATTATAATGAAATAGATGTAAGGGAATTTATGTTGAATAACTTTATGTACTTAATTCAAAAATACTCATCTATTCCAATTGACATTTTAATAGAACCTTTAATAAAATAGGTTATGTTAAATGATGCTTTAGTAAATTTAACTGATATGACGCTGTTTAAATTTATTAGTAAGCATCCAAAAATGAAAATAAGGTTAGCTATATTATTATTGGATTTGCTAGCTAAAATCTATTTAAATAGTGTCACAATGTCTCATTTATCATTGAATCCAATTCAAGTACTTTTGGCTCGTTTTGCAGAATCCCCCTTATTAAGAGAATATGCTTTTAAGTTATGCAAAATTGGTCTAGCATTACATTATGGTAGTTTAAAAAGTAAAAGATAATAAGTTAAAACTAATGATTTATCTATTTTGACTGCATTATAATAACATAATAATGATCATGAGATATTGGAAGCTTAAAAAAGGGCATAAATAATAGAATTAATTAAGTTCATAATTAATATGTAACAAGATGAATTGAACGAACAAATAAAACCATTGTTATGTCATTTTTATATTGAATTGTAAAATTTTATTGTTTATAATTAGACAAAATATTAATATAAAAGATAAGGGAGTAATTACATTATTAAATTTGTTTGGTAATCCTGAAAAAATAGTATCAGTTATAAAATAATAATGGGAGACTGAGAAATAAGAATAAGAAGAAATTCTAAGATAATCGTAATTAATAATTGATAACGAATTTGTTTAGAATTAACAATCATTAGAGTAAACTCCATAAACTGTAAAGAGTGAAAAAAATAAATAAAATAATAATGATCCTTTTAATGATTTAAGATAAAAAGAATTGGAAGAAGAAAAGAAATTTTTAGCATAAAATGGAGTGGGTTTTAAAAAAAGAGTAGTAGAATTAGAGAGAGGAAAGTAGCCAATTGCACCTACACTAAATGTTTAATAATAATAATAATAGTAAAATAAGAAAAAAGCTTAATAAGTGGATCCAAAAGTATTAGAAAATATAGCTAATATTAAATTAAAGAAAGAAGAAGAATTATTGAAGAAATAATAAGAAGAAGAAGAGAAAAGAAAAAGAATTGAAACATTATAAAAAAAAGCATAATAAGAAATTTAAAAAAGAACTACAGGAAAAGTAATTGAGAAAGTAGATGAAAAGAAGGTTGAATTAATAGATCTTGATGATCATGAGACTCATGATTATGAATCTATGAGTATTGCTATTAAAAAGAATCATAAGGCAATGAAATATTTATTCTCTAAATATTCTAATACTACTAATTAAGCAAGTAAAAAGTAATATTTTGGAGAACTTTAAGAATAATATGAAATAATTTAATTATCTGATATTATGAGAATGTTAAAAGATTTTTAAGTAAATTTATCAAAGGAAGAAATTTAAGCATATGTTAAAGCTATAAATTAGAAATATTCAGAAAATAAAGCTGATTAATTTAGTTTAGATTAATAGAATTTTGAAAGATTTTTAGCATAACTTTCAATGAAAACTGAAAGTTATATTTTTTAAAGAAAACCAGCAGGATAATGTTTAGAATAGCTTATGTAAGGATTTGGATAAATAGCAAAATCAAAAAGTATATAAAAATAAATAATTATTAGATGAAAATCATCTTATATTTTTAGATCCTGACAATATCAATATTGACCCAGATAGAGATTTAATAAGATAATTAAATTTATAACTTTAAATTTAAGATGTTCCTGTTCCAAATAAATTCAAAAAAGTTACAGAAAAACAATTGAATTAAAGATTTGAATATAGATAATAGATAATGTTAGGAATTGAAAATGCATGGCTTGATTGTCATGAAATAGTAAATTAATTGATTTCAGAAACATTTAAAACTAATGTAGTTGAACCTTTATCAGATGTAAAGATTATCTGGAAAGTAAAACCAAATCCACAATAACAATAAGAATAAGTTGTTTAAGTAAAATAAAGGGATAATTCATTATAAAAAAAAGTCATTAATAGAGCAATAGAAGATAAATTATAAAAATAATAAGAAGAAGAATAAAAAAAAATAGATGCAGAAGAAAAAAGAAAAAAACATTAAGAAAAATTAAAATAAGAATATTTAAGAAAAAAGAAAGAGAAAGAAGAATAGGAATAACTTAAAAAATAAGAAGAAAGATAAGAAATGATTGAAAAAGCAGAAAAAGAAAAAAAATAATAAGAACTTTTAAAAAAGGAAGCTGATGATAAAAAATTAAAATTAAGAGAATATAAAGAAAAAATGGCAGAAGAATCTAAAATAAAAGAAGCTTAGAATCTAGAATTATAAAAATAGAAATAAGAATAAGAAAGAAAATAAAGAGAAGAATTTTAGAAAAAATAAAAAGAGGAAGTAACAAAATTATTAGAATAAAAAAAGAAAGAGTTTAAGGATAAAGAATAATAGGAAAAGTAAAAAGAATAGAAAGCAAAAGAAGAAATTAAGGAATGGAAAAACAATGTTGAAATAATGTTATAATAAGAATAGGAAGTAAGATAAAGAGAAAAACAAATGCATTCTAAAATTTTATAATTGTAATAAAATTAGGATATTTAATCTATTTATAAAAAATACGAAAAATAATTATAAGCAATATATCATGCTTACTAAGAATATACTGATTGGAAGATTGAAAATGCTGGAATAGAAAAGGAATTACTATAATTCAAAGGATTCACAAACTTTGCTTCTTAATTTAGCATTTATCCTGCTATAATTACACCTGAAGATGCCTAGTTAATTTTTCGATCAATAACAAGAGAGAGAGAAAGATAATAATAATAATTAAATGAAAAAAATGGTTTTAATGCTACACCACCAAAAGGAATGAATTATATTGAATTTTAATAAGCATTATTGAGAATTGCAATAAAAGGATAAAAGTATTTTGATCTTCTTAATGATAAATATGAAAATAATATGAAGACTATAGATATGCTTGCATTAAAAAAGGATTAAGCTATTTCAGAAGAAGGACCACTTGAAAAAAGAGAAGATTAATATTAATAAGTTGATGCTACAAGTTTTAAAACCTTATAAGGTTTAATATATTTTTTAGACATGCCTGAAGAGAAAACTGAAATGAATTCTAAATTAAGAGCATTAAAATTAGAATTTTAAAAAGTAGCAGCATAAAGAGATAAAAAATAAAGTAATTTTATTATTTTATTATAGTGGTATAATAAAAATTAACTGAAGAAGTTAAATAACCAACCAAAAGAAAATAATCTATTGGATAAAAAGAAACAAAAGACAAAAGTCAAGAAAAATGTATTTTCTATCATTTATTATTCAGTATAACCCTAAAGAAATAAATCATAAAATATAAGAGTAGATTCTGCCCAGAATAAAATGAAATCATCTTAAAAGGATTAAATACATGCTGTTGATGAAAATGAATTAAATAAACAATCTCCTAAAAGTAATTCAATTATTTACTATTATTCTTAGAAATAGAAACTACAGGACCAGACGGAAAAAAGGAAAGTTGGAAAGTTAATTAATAAAAATAATCATGATTTATAACTAACTATTAATTTATTTTATTCTTTTATAAAATTATCTATCATCATATAATGGAAAAAACTATAATTCTCTTAGATTATGAAATTAATAAAAAGACTTGATTATCTAAATATTTTCAACTCTATTCCTTATGAAATAATTTCAAAAAATTTATTTTACTTTCATTAATAATTTACTCTATTATTTAAATGAAAAACAACAAAAAATTAAGCTTATTAATTTATTTATTTAAGTAATCGAAATATATAAAAGTTTTAAAAATAGAAGGAAAGCTAATTAAAATTATATCTTTATCAATAAACTAATTCTATGAAGTTTTTTTTTTCAAACCTATCAAAGAACTTGCATTTTTTATTGAAACAACTTTCTATAATTGAATCAAATAATTTATATGAGGAGATAGGTAATTTTTTATTCTTTTAATATAATTTTAAAATTTATTATAAAGAAAATGAATTCATTATAATAGTTTGATTAGTTAATAAAATATTTATATTGCAAAATTTAAAAAATGAAAAGAATAAATTATGTTTTTGATATTAAAGAAAGTAGAATAAACAATAAAAATAATCTTAAATATATTTCATCGAAGGATTTCTTGAAGAATTCTTTTTTTCAATCCTTTTAATTTTGTTATATATTTCTTGAAAGTTAGTAAGAAAAAAAATATTTTTTTTATATATTGATTAAATTTATAATGTTATGATATATTTTAATAATCAGATTTCTACTTACTTGTTTGTTTAACCTGTGCTATCGTCCTCCTAGATTGAATGTTCATATCCATTGAAAGCAGTTTGGAAACATATTCCTGTGATTGCGAACCAATTTGAGACTGGAATATTATAATCTAGGGAAGTATTTTTGAACTTAAAATATTTTGAAATTAAAACTTGATCTGTATCTGATCCTATTCCCATACCAACTGTAATAATAATCCAACCAACTAAACTGATTCCTAATGATCCATATCCTAAGGCAGCTTAATCTATAGCAATTTTGGCTAAGCTAATCAACAAGCCTAATAAGAGACAACTTGCCCCTGCTATATTCAATATCACCCATGTTTAATAATGATCCATTCCTGATAAATTTCCAATATCGTAAGCTTTTGCTTGATAACAATATTATGCCATCCAACAAGTAATATACAATATCATTCCAATATTACTAATAAAAGCACTATAAAAATATTTATCTTATATTTTACTATCCTCTTGGCAACCTAAAATATTGATATTCATTACATTTCCTCTTCTTGCAGAATAATTTAAATAAAAAAATAAATAATATCTAAATATTTATTCACAATAGCATTTAAACTAATCTAAAATGTGACTTATCTAATATTCTATATACACAAATAATACTCTCAAGAACTTTCGTTTTTTTAATATTTAATCAAATGGAAATTGTTTTTTTAGATTATAAAAAGTATATATATTCATTATATAACAATAAAAAAATACTTAATAACTTTGACTTATCCAATAATCTAATTGTTAATTCAAGAAATCAGAACTTTGATCATTTTTTTGTTCTCTACTTTTATTAAATACATTTGAATTAATAGGGAATGTTTGAGATTATTATTAATTTTTGTATATTTTTAGTGAAATTCTGTAAACAATACAATTTATCAATGTGATTTTTATTAATTATACTGTCTAACCATAAAGTTTTTGATTTAATAATCATCACTCATGAAAAGATTTATCAAGACAATCAAATAAAAATTTAATGATTTTTTTTCTATTTTGTTATTAAGTATTAATTATTATATAATATTGAATATTGAAAGTTTATTTATTAGTAAAATACAATTATAAACTTTTTTATCTAGATTAATTTTCAAGAGAATTAAATCATAATCCTAATTTCAGAATTATTATATGTTAACTCTAACTTTTAAATTTCCAAATTTATAGAATTAGTATTTAAAATAAGCATAAACAATTTTTGGACTCTTCAAATATATGTCATTATATAAATTAATGTAATTATCTCCAAAATCACAAACTATATTTCAATCCTTATTCATTGAAAAAACTAAGGATCAAATTAATAATATTCTTCAATATAAACTATCCTTAGCCAATAAAGCAAGATAAAGGTTTGTAAAAAATTAGATTGATCGGCCAAATACTTCTATGGTTTAGTAACCAAATGAAATTGATTACCCTTAAAATCATTTCCAAAAGCATAGAAAAATTTCAATGAATGATTCTTAACTTACAGTTGTAACCATAAGAAAACCATAAAAAATAATGCATACAATAGAACTTAGCCCTTAAGTTTAACCTATTACATCATTTAATTCTTAAAGAAAATATAGGCAGTTGTAATTGTGTGAAAAATCCACTAATCCAGCACCTTAAGTTCATAGTCCAGAAAATGAAAAATAATTTTATTTCAAGCAAAAATAATATCGAAATAAATTGTAATTAAAGTATAGTGATGATAATAATATAAAACTAAAATAATATGTCAAAGAGTAACGTTCAAATAGCAAAGGAGTTTAAGATTAGATAAAGTATTAAGACAAAATGGATGAATGTTTTAGGGACAACTTATTTTTGTAGCAAAAATAAGTTGTTCCTAAAATAGAAAATTTTAAGATGTCTACAAAAAAATTTGATTAATAATTAGAACCAATTGATCAAATATTAGAATTGCGACTTTAAAAAATGAAAAAAAAATCTTAATAATGAATATTAATTTTTTATTTTATTGAATTATTGATGGCGATCAAATTTTTTTCATTATATATAGTTTAAATAATTTATTTTTCAATTAAAGAATTTATTTAAAAAAAAAAAAAATACATTAATTATTTTATTGCATTTATAATTAGAATAAAAAATTTTAAGTGCTCTTAAAATGAAAATATGTTATAGATTTTGTTTGAATGACCATTTTACTTATATTGATGATTAAAACTACATCTAAAATGTAGTGATTGGTATTTGTATGAAAGAAGAATGTAAAAATTAGCGATTTGTTTGTGAAGAATGTATTTATTAGGATCATTAAGGTCATAGATAAATGATTTCTAATTTTTTTGATTTAGCATAATTTATTTCAAACAAATTTGGGGATACTAATTTGGATATTAAAAGTGTTTTTGATTAAAGCTGCCAATAAGAATTTAAATTTTTAAAATAATAAATATTTGATGAACTTTAAAACCTGGAAGATTAATTTAATCAAGTCTAGGAATAAATAAAAAATTTATTAGATGCTCATTAAATAATTACAAAAATAAAAGTTGGCCATATTCTTGAATTAAGTTTGGAGGAATTAAATACCCTTTGTGAAATATTATAGAACCCAAAAATAATAAATTAATAAACTTTAAATACTAATTTAAGTTTCCTAAAAAATTCATCAAGTTTTCTTACAACAAAATTGAAAGAAACTTAAAAATTGATAAATTCCTCTTATGCTACAATAGAAAATATAGATTTTATTAGCTTTCTGTATTGTAATGTAAAATCAGAGATAAGAGCTCAATATTATGCTACTAATTTTTTAAACTATAATTTGATTCCTCTAGAATATTAAAATATAAAAGGAACAGGTATAAGAGAAATCTAAAATAGAGATGAAATATATTATGGGCAGGTAAACGAAAAATAATTGAAACATGGAAAAGGTATATAATAGAGAATTTAGTTAGGTATGTAAATTATAAAGAATGGTGAGATTATTTATGAAGGTATTTGGAATTAGGATTATTTATTATGGGGTTAAAAGACAATATTTAATGATAATTAAGAAAGTTATATTCATTAAGGAGAACAAATTTATAAAAAACCTAACGTATAAAACTTAACAAAGAGTTCTTGTGAACACTAGTATATAATTATATATATAAATATATAGAAAGGCAAATTTTACAGAGATATAAGGTCCAGGAATTCAAAACTAAAATGTAAAAGATTTGTATAATATTTCATTTCATTATTTAGTTATTTAGGAGAATTTTAAGATAATAAGAAACATGGAAAAGGAGTATTAAAAACATCAAGAGGAGAAGAGTAAATAATGTTTTCTATTTAGATATAAAGGATAATTTTAAAATGATAAAAAATAAGGAATAGGAACCTATTATTTTGCTAATGGTGATATGTAAGCTTATGATTTATAAAATAAATTTTAGTTATAAAGGAAATTTTAAAGATGATTAACTTCATGGAAAAGGAGAATTAATTTATTAAAATAATGGAGAAAGGTAAATAACATATAAAAAGTTAGTTACACGGGATTTTTTTAAAATAATAAAAAAGAAGGAGAATTTGAAATAAAATTTTCAAATGGATAAAAGTATTTATTATATTTAAGAATAAAGAGAAAAAATATATTTTAAAAATGATCAATAAGTTGGAAATGTTAAATCTATGATTAAAAAGGCAATTAAAGGAAGTATTTTTCAAGATAAAAAAGCTTGAATTAATAAATTTAATATGTTAATTAAAAAATTTCAATCTTTAAATTATTTTATTTAAGATTTTTTATTCTTAAATATTTTTTTTAATTATAAATGTATTTAGGACATCAATTTTATCATATTTAATATTCAAATCTACCATGAAAACTAGGGGCAATTAACTATGGTAATTAAAGTAAACAAACAGATTATAAAGATGATGCATCAATTATTTCAATAAAAGACTTATCTAAAGTTCCATCGAATAATACAAAAATAAGCCAACCTTCTCCTTTTGATTTATTATTATCCTAAACAAATATAGCTTCATTTAAATATTATTCTGATTAATAATATCTTCTTAAACTTTTTTCTGGATTAATTTCATCAATTCTAATTATACCATTAAACCAATCATCTTTTTCTAGTAATTTTATCTATATTTACTTTATTAAATTAATGCATAAGTGATTTCTTATTAAGAACCTACATCATCATCATGAACAATTGGAAATTCAATATAATCATTTAATATTTGTTTTTTTTCTAAAATCTCTCCTGTAAGAGGGTTTATGGTCAAACGATCATAAGAAGATTTAGAATCTATTAGTCCATTTTTAATTAGATTTTCAATAAAAAAGCTTTCATATAATTCAAATGTAGGGTAAGTTATAGCTTATGAAATTACATTACCATTTTAATCAACATAACCATTTGAATAATGCCAAACATTAAATTTAAAATAATTAATTTTATTTGCTATTAATTATAGATTTTTTGATTTATCGAATACAAATACTTATATTCCTTAAGATTCATCATTTAGAACATCTTATCCCAAAGCTTTTCTGCCTAATAAGATTTTATGAAAGTCTTGCACAAATTAAGAATACATTATTGCTATTAAATAATTCCCTGCTAAAATAAAATCATGTAACATGAATCTTCTTCCATTTACTTAAGCTGAATTTCTTCTCAAAATTTAACCACTTTAATTCATTTCATAAACATTCACCATTTAGTTCATTCCATGTGTTAATCCTACATTATAAATCATTCCTGATTTTGAATCTATTTTTGGATGAGCAGAAAATGTATCCCCATTTTATAAACTATTACCATTTGTCAATCCTATTGTAGCTAAATTTAATTTTTTTAAACTAGTTGGTAATCCTCCTTCCCATAGAGCTAAGAGTTCTCCATTTTTCAAAGGTAATACGGATGTATTAGCAGGATTCTTAAATGAAAAAGAATTGAATATTTTAGTTAAAAAATTTCCTGAATAAGTTCTACCTAAACCAGCATATATATACTCTAATTATAAAAATAATATAAACCATCTCTTTATTATTCATTTAAATAACCTTCGCTTTATACATGTTTATAACTTGCTATAGCCTTTTCATCTTTAAATTCAATCTTCAAAATAACACCATCCTAATTATAATATATATTTTCAACCCCATCAAACAAATGTCCAGGATATCCATTTCTTCTCTTTTTTGTTGAAACTGTATTCCTGTACAATGAACCAATTAAGCCTTTTGGAATTCCACCTTTGCATATAACTAATTATTAGTCCAAAAATTCAATAGGATTTAATGAAAGAAGTTTTTTCCAACTCATATAGAATTAGTAAATAAATTCTGTAAAATATTAATATTAGAATCGATTTTTAATTAATATATCAATCAGAATAAATTCAATATTATTTAAAATATATTTTTTGATGAAAAAAATCTAGGATTGGCATAATAAAATTTATCACAATTTCTTATCTTAAAAAATCTTTGAGCATTAGTTAGAAATAATTGTACTTGAACACCTGATGAGATAAAAATTATAGAGATCAGTCGATGTATTAATTTAAAATTTGTATAAAATTTATATTGGAATTTTTCTTAAGATTTTAATCATAACATAATTATTGAATCTGTTTAATATAAAATTAAATATTATTTTGGTATGCAAAAACTAAGTCTTTAATATTTTTAATGCCTTATTACAAAGGAAAAAAAGGATTCTATGTTTTTTTTTTATTTATTCCTTTTTCCAATCTTTTAGGATTGATTGATCTGTTGTTATGGATTGAAAATCCTCTATGAAACTATTTAATAGTATCTGGATAGTCTGAAATCTATCGAAAGGATTCTTTATTTTTTTTGATTAACATCAGAGATGAACCCTAATTACAATGATAGTAATTGAATGAAATATATTTTTTCTATTTTATTTTAAATTTAGTAATCATTTAATATTTATTTTATTAAAAATATATATGGCAAATTAACCTTTTAAATTGTTTTCATTTTAATCATAAGACCCGAAAACTGAAGCTTAAGATGAAAATTAAAATAAGGATTAAGAATCAGAAGAATAATAAAGAAACTAAACAATATAAATGATTTGGAATAATAAACCTAATCCTAATTATAAGCTTTAGTTTTACAATTATTATTCAGATTAGGTTGCAGTCGATTTTTCTTTGAAAACTTACAATAAATTCACTTCTTACCATATTCCTAAATTAAAGCATTACTTAAGGTATTGAGATAAATTCAAGCTTAGATTTTCTTCAAAATTATTTCCAGAACAAATTGAAGCAACAAAAAATATGTTTTATAACTCTTTTATGTCAGATCCTACTGAATCATAATTAATAATGAAACCCTATGCTGGCTAATACTCATAACAACCTTAATATCATTTTTTAAAAAGAAATTGATTTTTATTTATTTATAGTATAAATATAATTTATGGATATTCACAAAAAAATTTATAAACGAAGAAATGAATTACCATTAAATAAATTTCATCAACTCAAAAGATAAAAAACAGTTCAAAAAGAAGGAGAGAGTTGTAAGAAAATAAAAAAATAAATTAGAGACCTTCAAAGATTAATTGAAAAAGTATTATAATTAAATTAAAAAAGGGTCATATAAATGAAGAAGTTAAATTGATTAAACAATAAGATTTAGAAAATAAATAGAAATAATTAAATTAAAAATAAAATGAATACAAATAATAACAAAAAAAAATAGATTATTTTGCCAGAAAATATAGAAAAATAAAATAAGTAGATTTAAAAAAATTGAAAAGATAATTAGAGAAAATTTAAAAAGAACTTGAAATAACAGATAATAGAGAATCATTATTACAAGTAGAATCAGAAATTTAAGAAAAAATAAATTATGTTAAATATTATCCAAAAGATTAAAAATATATATCATTGTTTGGTAAGAATTTGAATGAGCATGCAAAAGAATAATAAGAATAATTAATTGATAAAAGCAAAAAGAATGTAAAAATTATTGAATAATAAAAAACTAGTTTAAATAAAAGGAATTAAAAAAATATAGAATGATTGAAGAGACTCATAAGGAAGTAAATGATGATTTTTTAATGGATGAAGAAAATGTTTAGATTGTTACCAAATAATTAGTTGATAAATAGGGAAAAGTAATTAAATAAATGAAATTTAATTAATTGTAATGATAAAAATTAAATGTTATAAATAATCTATTTAAAATAAAAAATGACTAGAATATTAGTTATTAATTTTTTTAAATGAGAAAGAGAACTAAATGTTAGTTTATAGAATAAGAAGCTTCAGAAGGTTATAGTAGTGAAGATGAGGATAATGAGAAATTTGAAATTAATAAAAAGGAAGCTGAAAGATAATTAAAGGAAATGTAAGATAGAAGAGCAAAGGCAAATGAGAGACTGAATAAAAGACTTTAAGAATTATTAGAAGAAGATGATATAGATGAAACTGTTAATGAGAGTGATGAAAGTTAAAATGAAGATGATGATAATTATTATGATGATAAAGATGATATATCATTGAAAGGAGGGCCAAAATTTAATGATCCAAAAATATGGAGATTCAAATGTGGAAGATCAATATTTGAAATATAAAGAATACTTGAGATATCAAATTAATTACCAAAAAATAGTCCAATTGTATCTATTTTTTATACTCCAAATGTTAAAGGGAATATATTTTTTGAATCATACTTTGAAAATGATGTAAAAGAATTTATGAGATCAATTATGTATGGTTAACCTATTTATGTTCAACCAGAAGATTGTGATAGTTTATTAGAGATGAAGAAAAATAATAATATTTAAGTAGGTTAATGGGTAAGATTTAAAAATCATAAAAATTATGGAAAAGATTTAGGAAAAGTATTGAAAATAAATTTGATATAAAACTATGCAATAATAAAAGTAATAAAAAGAAACAAATAAGGATAAAAAGAACCAATTACATGGTAAAGAACTAGATAATAAACAAGTGAGATAGTAATTAATAATGAATCTGAATTTATTTATTCTGATATAGAGAAGGAATATAAATGTGCAAAGATTGATGGATTTAAATTATTAAGATGTTCATTAAAAAACATTGAACATAATATTACAATAACTGATGAAGAGTTACAAATGTTTTTTCCTGATGTTGTGGATAGAAAGATTCTTGTTTAATAAGCAAAAAGAGAAATACTTAGAAGAGTAGATGTTTAATTTAAAGAAGGATAAAAAGTTAGATTGATAGGAGAAGATGATCTTAATTAAGGTCCTAAATTTAAAATAGTTAAAATTTTTGATGATCAAATGATAGAATTAATGTGTAAAAAAGATAATCGAGAATACACATATTTAGTTCATGCTTCTGAAATTAGATTAGCATTTAAATTATATTAGGAAGTTAAAGTTATTGATGGGCCCCATAAAGGAGATGTAGGAGTTATTATTTGTATTAAATAAGGTTATGTTGAACTTTCAACTTAACATGGTACATTTAAAGTACCACATAGTGTTCTTTAATTTGGACATAAGAATTTTTAAACTGATAATTCTTTAGTCAAATTTGGAAATAATGATTTTTAAATTGGTTGTGTCATTTAATAGAAACTCTAATCAGCTGTCATTTTAGATATTAATAATGAAATTTAAGAAATCAGAAATGAAAAACTTGAAATTCTAACAATCAATGGTGTGGAAATGAATGAATAAGGAGAAACATTTAGAAATTTAGATAATGTAACTATTATATAAGGAAAGTATGCAGGTAAATTTGGATTAGTAAAACATTGTGTTAATGGTAAATTATATTTATTTAATCATATCTTTCCTTATTAAATTATTCTTGAGAGTATTAATAANGGGTAAGATTTAAAAATCATAAAAATTATGGAAAAGATTTAGGAAAAGTATTGAAAATAAATTTGATATAAAACTATGCAATAATAAAAGTAATAAAAAGAAACAAATAAGGATAAAAAGAACCAATTACATGGTAAAGAACTAGATAATAAACAAGTGAGATAGTAATTAATAATGAATCTGAATTTATTTATTCTGATATAGAGAAGGAATATAAATGTGCAAAGATTGATGGATTTAAATTATTAAGATGTTCATTAAAAAACATTGAACATAATATTACAATAACTGATGAAGAGTTACAAATGTTTTTTCCTGATGTTGTGGATAGAAAGATTCTTGTTTAATAAGCAAAAAGAGAAATACTTAGAAGAGTAGATGTTTAATTTAAAGAAGGATAAAAAGTTAGATTGATAGGAGAAGATGATCTTAATTAAGGTCCTAAATTTAAAATAGTTAAAATTTTTGATGATCAAATGATAGAATTAATGTGTAAAAAAGATAATCGAGAATACACATATTTAGTTCATGCTTCTGAAATTAGATTAGCATTTAAATTATATTAGGAAGTTAAAGTTATTGATGGGCCCCATAAAGGAGATGTAGGAGTTATTATTTGTATTAAATAAGGTTATGTTGAACTTTCAACTTAACATGGTACATTTAAAGTACCACATAGTGTTCTTTAATTTGGACATAAGAATTTTTAAACTGATAATTCTTTAGTCAAATTTGGAAATAATGATTTTTAAATTGGTTGTGTCATTTAATAGAAACTCTAATCAGCTGTCATTTTAGATATTAATAATGAAATTTAAGAAATCAGAAATGAAAAACTTGAAATTCTAACAATCAATGGTGTGGAAATGAATGAATAAGGAGAAACATTTAGAAATTTAGATAATGTAACTATTATATAAGGAAAGTATGCAGGTAAATTTGGATTAGTAAAACATTGTGTTAATGGTAAATTATATTTATTTAATCATATCTTTCCTTATTAAATTATTCTTGAGAGTATTAATAATTGCAAATTAGTTTTTAGAAAATAAGTTAAGCCTAAATAAAATGATTAAATGTGTTTAAGTGGATAAATTTGTTAACTCAAAAGTGGTAAATGGTAAGGATATCGTGGATAAATTATTTAAATTAAAAATGGATAATTAATAATTCAATTAAATGTAAATAATTTATAAATCAAAGCTACAGAAAAAGATATTCTTTTATTATGAAATTATTTAATTTATTCAATATTATTATTAAAATTATTCACAACGATCTTTTAGAATTCATTAGAATAGAATTGAATAATTCAACATACTTAATTTATAGATATTAAAAATTAAGGATAATTTATTATTATTAAATTACTCATGCTTCTTAAACTAAAACAAGACATTTAATAATTGTTTGATAATGTTCAAGGATTTAAAAAGGAATCTAGACCAATCCATCCAGATCTTAAGGATTAGCTTGATGTAATAACTTGCTTAACATAAATTTAGGAAAAAATTAATCTCATAAAACAACAATTTAACAATATAGACGAAAAGATCATCAAGAACTATTGTTGTAAAATTTTAGAGGTAATTTCTATTAAAACTTATAGCTTAAATAAATTAATACTATAATGTAGGATCTAAAATTCACTTTAGACATTTCAATCAATTCAGGATCCTCCATTTTAAAAAAGAGTCATCTTCTAATTTAATAAGAAAGCAAAGAGTATTCTATATATAATAATTATAGGAGTGTAGCAAGTTTACAAGAGAAAATAATTCTAAAACTTAATTAAATTACAGAACTCAATGAAATAAATGATGTAGTAAACTATCATGAGAGTGAGTTTGATGGAATATGCATTTTTAGATTGCATTAAATTTATCATAATGAAGTGGAAAATCTATAATAATAGTTTTAATAATTAAAATCATTAAATAATGAAAGATTCAATATTTTGTATTAATCATACTCTGATATCATAAATGATTTAAAATTTATTAAAATAAAGGAACAAATTTCATCCTATTCAGAAATAGTCAACTTAATTGACGAATTTCGTGATAAAATTTTTGCTATAATTAAATCTAAGAATGATTCTATTCCAAACATGGATAGTAACTTATTAAATCAATATTATAGGAACTAAATCTTTATAAAGTTTATCATCAGTATCTTAAGATTTCATTGAAGATGATCATTATGAAATTAAGAGAGGAAAATATAATAATTTACTAAAATAAGAGGAAATAAAAAACAAAAGAAAAGAGAGTTCTTCAGAAACATGTATAAATTGTTAAATATTTTGAATTTAATTATTATCATTTAAAGTAATCAATAATTTCTTAGTATTTTAAATTAGTGATTCTCTTATACTTTTCATACATTTTAATAGAAATATAATTTTCTTATCTAAAATAAAATACTAATATACTCTTGTGTTAATGGAATATCACAATATTCAAATGCCTTCTTAAAATAAGTTAGATCACAATTATCCCCATTTAATACTAGATAATCAACTAATTTATTCTTATTAAGCTTAAAAATCTATTTTAATTCTTAATATAAATTATCATAGAATTGTGGATTGATTAATTCAAAAGGTTTAATCAGATTCCTTAAGATACTTATAACAATAACAACATCATTTGTTTAATAACTATCATAATAAATCCATTCTTCTTATTCTGGTTCAGCAAGAAATCTTGCTACTAATAAAGATTAATCATCAGGCAAATCAAATGGATATTATTTAAGTATCTCATTAATTTCACTTAAATTTATTATACCTCTTGAAGATTTAGAATAAATATATGAATCTAATCTTGAAAAAGGTATTTAAGCTAATTAGAATTTCAATGCTATTTCTTTACCAATAATCTCTACTTCGGAAGAACTTACTTTTTATATCTTTTTTCTACTCATTAATAATTAAGTTTTTTATTTTTGATAAGATTAGGATGTTTATCTTACAGATTTTTCAGATTAAGAATCTTATTCATCAGAACTTTGTTCCACCATTTACTCCTTTTCCAAATGTTATATTGTTTCTTTCAATTATCCAATCTAAATATTTAAACTATCTATCTCTCTTTTATAAAATGATTCTTTAAGTTAATAAACAGATTTTTCCTCTTTTAATGTTTTTTCTAATAAATTGATTTTTTCATTTCTTAATCTTAATTCTTCTTCAATTTATTGCTGAATTAATTTTTAGTTTTCTAATCTGATTTACCATTGTCGATTTAAATCACTGATCGTTTTTTTTGGATTGCTATATTCAAATTGTATAAGTTGTAATTCTTTTTCCTTATCTAAAACTATCTTTTCACTTCTAATTCTTTTGAAATCTGATTGATGTAATTCCTACTATATTTTTTTATTATATAATTGTAATTCCTAAAGTTTTTATTGAGAAATGAGTAATTCTTAGCTAATTTTAATATTATCTTTCAGTAATTGATCTTTTTAACTAAATTAACTAAAAAATTTAATTTTAAGAGATACATCTAATGAATTAATGCTTAATATTTAAATTTCAATTTATCATACTCTTCTTTAATGACTTTACATTCTATCTGAAACAATAGGAATAATACTTAACCTAGCATTCTTATAGTTTAGTTCTTTTTGTATCTCTTTTAAGTTCTTCAATTTACTATAAATTAAACTTTTCTCTAGCTTTATAATCTTTAATTTATTTTTGATATGCAATAATGGAACATGACTTGGATATATGATTTTATTATACTTCTTCTGTTTTCATTCTAATTTATAGATCTAAATCACTATGTTTAGATTCAGCTTTTGATTATTTATTCAAAATGAGTAACTTTTCTTATTTATTTAATTATTTCTAAGTAAAAAATGCATAAAAAACCTCAAAGTGCAATATTTGTTATTTTAATTGTTTGTTTTCTTCAAATAATAAATTATTTGATTGCTTGACAATTAATAATTATTCATTTAGATTATCGATTTCTTTTTATTTTTTGGATAATTTAGCTTCTTTTAATAAAAATCGATAAAAACTTATACATACTTTTAGATATGAAGAAAGACGGTTTGGTTTCCATATTTCTAGAAGTGAATGTTTTTTAGGCAGAATATAATCTATGAGGAGATTGCATTAAAGAATGTGTTTATTATTTTATTATAATAATAATTTATCCATTTTGGTCCATTATTATTTTATAAAATGAATAATTAACAAACAATTTCAAATAAGTTAATGTCAGAAGAAGTACCAGAAGAGGAATCATATGAATAAGAGGAAGATGAAGATTTAGAATAATATACCTAACAATTAAACTTAAAATAATTAGTTAAGAACTCAGGTATTTCAAAAAAACTCAATAAATTTTAGATTCTTTAATGTAATAGATCAATATATTGAATGAGTAAGCAACTATAAAAATTAAATAGTAAAAGTACAAAGATGCTTTGAAATTATTGTAATAATGTGAATAAATGTTGGAAGTAAGATAAATATCAATAAACATAGTTTGCTGCAAGTTGTGGAAAAGTAATAGACAGGAACCTTATAATAATAGTATTATACAATTAAGCTTGTACTTATTAATGGTATATAATGTTATTATTATAGTCAATGGGTATTAGATAAATGTTCTAAATATTTAGATGGTGTTATCTATAATATGGAATTAGCAATTAAAGAAGATGACCAAGATTTAGAGAATTTTGCAAGTGCTCAAGAAAAACAATCATAGCTAGTGAAGAGATAAACATTTTTAGCTAAGGCATATCTATAGTATACAGCTATATTAAGTTAAATGGGAAAGTAATTGAAAAAGACTAAATGATAGGCATAATAAAGCACTTGTTAATTCTTAAAAGGCTGCTTAGATAATGAGAGAATTATTTAAGATATCGAATCAGTTCTGTTAATAATGGTTATAGAGTAATGGATCAACAGGGACAGCCACTACTTCATAATCAAATATATCAGTGAGAAGCAATTAATTAGAATGCCAATAATTAAATTAGGATACATAAAAAAAAGGATAAAAATATTAGATGAAGGATGAAATTGAATTTAGTAGATTAGTGATTGATGGAGCATATGAAATACTAAAGGATATGATTAAATAAGTGGATTTAGAAAAAATACCAGTGAATGAAAAATAATTACTTAAAGAAGCTAAAAAGTAATTATATTATTGGAGGAACAATCCAGAGAATAATGAAAAACATTTAAGAAAAGAGTTAAAATTAGTATCTTAAAATGAGGAATATCGATCATTGTTAGGAATTTAGAATTTGGCAGAATGGATTTCTAATTTTAATATAGGATCAATTATGCATATGGCACCATAAATTTATGATGATTTCACTTAATTCGGTGAAATGATATATGAATTAGCCAAAAGATAAATCTTGGAAAAAGTAATTTATTTTTCTATTTCTTACTTTACTATAGCTACTGAACTAAGATTTATAGAATTAGAAAAAGCCAAATAAAAAGGACTAAAAGATGATCAAATAGATACTGAAGAATTCAAGTTAAGTGAATTGTATCACTTAAAGTCAATAGAAATAGCTTGTCGTCATATAACAACCTAATCACCTTACATCAGTCATTTGATAACTAGTTATCATAAACATTACAATATAAATTTGGATGTTATAAAAGAAGAGTCCATCCTATCCAACAGTTCAGAATAATAAGCTATTAAAATTTCAGAAATCAATTAAAATTAGAAACAAACAAAAAAGTTATAAATCTAAATTAACAACAATAATAATAATAATAATAAAAACAATAATAATAATAATAATATTAATAATAATAATAACATTATAAAATAGGATCAATCACCTAAATTGACAAACAATTTCATAACTACTTTTTTGAATTCCAGGTCTCCTCCTAAAACATAAAAATAATCATCAATAAAAAACCAAATAAAATAATAAAGTGATTTAATTGAATAGATGATTAATTAAAAACGTGGAGTTAATTGTTCTCCATCTAATTAGAAAAATAATTTAAATTAATAAAATTAAGGTCAATTTGATTACAGTGTGTATCTATAGAAGTAATCTTGTAACACAAGTAATAGTAATATAAACTCTACATCAGACTTTATTAATAGTACTATGACTATTTAATTGCAACCTCATAAAAACAATCAGAATTTTAAATCAAATATAAACTAATAACAAAGCTGTACAAATAATACCAACAATTTAAAATCTTTACTATCTGATGTTTGTAGAACAGAAAGATAAACTACAAATGATAAATAAACTTCCCATACTCCAATTAGTTATAGAGTAAATAATAGATCTCCTGATAATTCTTATATAAATTCTTAGAAACAAAATCAATAACAACTTCATTTAAATAAAACACCTTAAAATCGACCTAGAACTAATACAGAATAATAGCAAGCAAGTACTCATATTATATAATTATAGGTTTTCCAATAAAGTTTGAGACTATTCAATCGTTACTAAGAAATAAAGGAAACAATTAAAAATAAAAGTGAAATATTATAATATTGTAATTTTTTGATATTACTCAAAATGTCTGTGTATTCTGGATTTGCTACTCGATAACTTGAAAGTCAGTATAATAAGTTAATTACTTCTTTGCTTAAAATAATGCAGCGTAGAATAATAAAGTTTTATAAGAATGAAGAAGCAGATGAAAAACAATTTAAAAGAGTTGTTGAAGAAGTAATTATATGCAATAAATACAGACTCTTATGAAATTGAATTAAATGGAACATTAGAAATATAATGAACCATATATAAGTGCTATAATGGGAGAAATTTGCGATTTATTACAAATCTAACAAAATTGTGCAACAGGTTGTTCATGTTAATGTCATCTTCAACTTAGAAAATAGACATTTTTAACTTAAGATAAAGAAATCCTATCAAATCCTTCTTCTTGTAGAAAACAAACAGTCAGTTCTAGAAAGACAAGTGTGAAAGGTATAAATAATACTACTTTTCTGGATAAATCCTAATTATCTAAGATTCAATAACTTACTTAGTTGACATCAACTTATAAATCTCCATATTATTAGAATAATAATAGTAACTAATAATATGGTAAATCTAAATTGAACTTTTACTAAAATACATCTAATATAACTCATAATAGTTCTATTGAAAGACCTACCACTAAAAGTTATTAGAGGCCATAATCAAAATCTCCAGGTAGAAGTATTCCATCTAGAATTATGAGATCATCAGAGGGTTAAAGAGCTAATCCAAATGAGAGTTTGGAAGAGAGAAGATATGACAAACCATAAACATTTGGCTAATAATATAATAAATTTTTTAGAAAGAAGAATTTTTGAAATACATAATATCATATCGATTCAATTTAATGATTATCATTTTATTTATCCTCCTATTAAATATCATTTATTAATATCCATTCATTTATATCTAAATCCATTTCATATTTGTTCATTAATTAAATAATTAATTTAAGGTTTTCCCTATTACAACAAAAATATTGTTATAAAACATCTCTCTTACTTTTAGTGAAGGCTAAAATCATAATCAAGGTTAAGATTAAAGAATTCAATTAATATTATAATTCTATATGCACTTGTTGCTGATATTTTACTTTTTTTCATCAATAAATAATTTCTCACAGGTGCTAAATTAATATGGATTCAAAAAGCCCGATATTTTTCCATTTTATAAATTCATAGGCGTCAAATACCAAATATTATTATATTTATATTTATATATGTATCATCAATTTAATAATTTTTATTCGTAAAACTTCAATCATTTAGATTTACTCTATCTAATCCATTTATTAGTGAAATTTTAAAAGATTTTTTATACAAAATAATACTTAATATTTATTAGATGTAAAATTATATTGAATTTCTTAAATCAACACAAACTTAATCAACTTCCTAATTCTTAGAAATCTAAAATTATTTTGAATAGTTTTCAAAATATAATACATTCTTTATTTAAAATTAAAAAATTAATTTAGAGTATTAATTCTTAGTAAATTATGCACGTAAAACAAAAATGATATGAAAATAAATTCTCAATCTTACATAATACAATGAATCATTAATAAATATAAAAGCAGATATAATTCAAAAAATATTTGAAAATATGAATTATTTAGAATTTAAAGATAACAATATTTTAATTTTTGTTTTAGTTTATAAACACAACATATCAATTGTATATGTGCTGAACTCTTTGTTTGATTTATTTTTATAGATTTAGTAGCTAGTTAAATAAAGTATTTGTTTTAATGCTTAGTCTTAATATTAAAAGGATGAAGGCTGTTTTTATTTCTTAAAAATATTGAGAAACTATTTACAAAAAGAAATTCATGAATAAACAGAAAGATGAATCATGATTCAATATAATAATTAATGATTTAAAATTCAACTACAACTCCTCCAAACGAAGACTCATATCATAAACCAATCATTCAAATCATGAGTTAGATTAACTAATAATAAATAAGAGTTCGTAATCCTTCTTAAGAAAGTCATAAAGTTTAAAATGAGAGTCATTAAATTAAAATTACAAATCCAAAATCTCCTACTTTAACACAGATAAGTGTATAGTTAGCATCTGATAGGATATCACCTAATGATCAAAAAGATTTGCTTCTTATTAATGAAGAACCAAGTAATAAAGAAGACTCATAATAATTAAGTGTGATAAGAAAACCAAATGATTGTGAAGTACTGTATCGTAAATCCAATTATAATAAATAAAGTACACTTCATTCATCTTTAAGATTATTGCATTTCTCAAAATCGGATATATTTACAAAACAAATATTAAGCAAATAACAATTTAAAATTATTCATGACTTATCATCTGACTATATCATTCCATTAAAACAAGAAATTATTAATCGAATAAAATAAGATTCTGTCATTAAGTAAGTTCTATACAGTTTCTATATTTGCTTTCTAATCTTTTATTTGACTATATTACTTATAGAATTGGGTTGTAACACTTTAACACTTTGCAATTGGTGTGTTTTCCATTATTTATTGATCATTTTTTAATTAATTGATTGCTCTTATCAAATTGTTATTAATAAATTATATATGATAGGTATGTTTGCAGATGTATTAACTATGTTACCATTTTTTGCATTTTTATTAGATTTAGGAGAGGCATAGAAAATATTTTATATGTTGTATTTAATAAGAATCTACAAAATTACTGATTTCATACAAAACTTAAATTTTTATTCAAATTAATATGATTAGCTTTTTGTGATTATGACAACTATTTAAATTCATTTTGCTACTTTTATTACATAAACTATTATTTACATGTTTGCTGAATAATAATAAGACTATACAAATTACATTTAAAATATTTTTGTTGTGTTATTTTTCAATCCTAACATAATAAAACGTTATTATTTTATTATTTATTTGATTAGAATTCTTTTATTGATTTTTTATTTTGTAAAAATTAGATAGATAATTAATTATCAATCACTTCCATTAGATCATTATATTAATTATGCTCCAAAAACTTTGAAATCAATTATTAATTATTAGTAAGAAAATAGAAAAACAAAATTTGATATAAAATCTTTACCAATATATTTATAATAAAAAATGAAGAGAGAGAAATATTTAAAGATTTTATAAAGTATCCCAATATTTAAGAAATCATTTTCTAATTAAACATTACTAAATTTATGTGAAATAATAGTTGAAGATATTTTAAAACCAAATAAAGTAGTTAAATAGAAAGAGTGTCTTCATTTTCTATTGGAAGGATAAATAGGCATAGTTTAAAAATGTTAATAATCTTAGAAAGAATTCAAATTAGCTAAAATATAAAATCCATTTTAGATTTTTAATAATATTGCATTTTTTAAAAATTAATTATAGGGAATAGAATTTAAAAGTATTGGATATACTAAAATAGCAACTTTAGATTAGAATTAATTTTAAAANTATCATTCCATTAAAACAAGAAATTATTAATCGAATAAAATAAGATTCTGTCATTAAGTAAGTTCTATACAGTTTCTATATTTGCTTTCTAATCTTTTATTTGACTATATTACTTATAGAATTGGGTTGTAACACTTTAACACTTTGCAATTGGTGTGTTTTCCATTATTTATTGATCATTTTTTAATTAATTGATTGCTCTTATCAAATTGTTATTAATAAATTATATATGATAGGTATGTTTGCAGATGTATTAACTATGTTACCATTTTTTGCATTTTTATTAGATTTAGGAGAGGCATAGAAAATATTTTATATGTTGTATTTAATAAGAATCTACAAAATTACTGATTTCATACAAAACTTAAATTTTTATTCAAATTAATATGATTAGCTTTTTGTGATTATGACAACTATTTAAATTCATTTTGCTACTTTTATTACATAAACTATTATTTACATGTTTGCTGAATAATAATAAGACTATACAAATTACATTTAAAATATTTTTGTTGTGTTATTTTTCAATCCTAACATAATAAAACGTTATTATTTTATTATTTATTTGATTAGAATTCTTTTATTGATTTTTTATTTTGTAAAAATTAGATAGATAATTAATTATCAATCACTTCCATTAGATCATTATATTAATTATGCTCCAAAAACTTTGAAATCAATTATTAATTATTAGTAAGAAAATAGAAAAACAAAATTTGATATAAAATCTTTACCAATATATTTATAATAAAAAATGAAGAGAGAGAAATATTTAAAGATTTTATAAAGTATCCCAATATTTAAGAAATCATTTTCTAATTAAACATTACTAAATTTATGTGAAATAATAGTTGAAGATATTTTAAAACCAAATAAAGTAGTTAAATAGAAAGAGTGTCTTCATTTTCTATTGGAAGGATAAATAGGCATAGTTTAAAAATGTTAATAATCTTAGAAAGAATTCAAATTAGCTAAAATATAAAATCCATTTTAGATTTTTAATAATATTGCATTTTTTAAAAATTAATTATAGGGAATAGAATTTAAAAGTATTGGATATACTAAAATAGCAACTTTAGATTAGAATTAATTTTAAAATTTAATTCGATAATGTCCTCAAGAATTTTAAAAGTATAGAATGCTTATTGATACCCTTTTGATAGAAAATAAATCTTATTTAATAAATATTTAATGTTTTAGTTGTTTTAAAGAACATGATATTACTGAATGTCCAGTTGTGAATTACAAGCCTAATAAAAATTAAGTAATTCAAAATCTTATATAAAATAAAGAGTAAACAAGAGTAATTGATTTTAGAAGAGTAACTATCTTTAATTATATAATTAGTAAGCAAATGGAAAGAAGAGAAAGCTTATTGCTATAGTTAAAAATGATAAAAAGGAAGATTCTGAATCTTTGGATTCTGAAGAATACGATAAAGTTGAATCATTTTAGAAGGTTTTAGCTTCTTCAAATTCTTTATAAAGTTAGAACAATAATAATAATAATTTTATAAATTAATTGGAATTGAGTTCTGTTCCTTATGTAAATTATTCACATAGTGGCTAAACTTTATAATCTAAAAGAACAGATTCAGAATAATTTATATGTTCTTAAGGAATTAGTAGTAGTATGAGTAGTAGAAAGATCTTTTTTAATGAAATTAAAGAAGTAGGATAATCTAAATTTTAAAGATATGAATAATAATCTGAAGAGTAATAAATATCTTAATTGAATTAAAATGCATTATAAAGAGTTTAAGATAGTGTATTACAAACAAAGAAGAGATTTAATTAAAATACAATGAAAAAGAATAATTAATAATAATTCTAAAGATATTAAACAGATATCTAAGCGGAACTTAAGAAGAGAGATTCAAGAAAAAACCAAACCATGGTTAATAGTGGAATCGAATAAAATAATAATTTTAATAGAAGAATCTCAATAGAGAATAACTTTTTGGAATTATTTGAAAAACTTAATTCTTTTGATGATTATTTTCCACATTATAATGTAGATTAATAAATCAACAATTATTATAAGATGCAATCTATAAAAAAAGATAATAATTAATGATAAATTATTAATATGTTTATAAACATTTGTAATACAACAACATATTATATAATCATATAATTCTCTAATTACTCAAAATTCTTTTAAGATAGAATACTTACCATCCTGTAATAGCAATAATACCAATAATTTCAATAAGACTGAAGAGTAATAATTTATTATTTGCATTTTAAACTTCTCTTAATCCTCCTTCAAATTATTAAGCAGCCATTTTATCATAAAAATAATTATCCTTTATTGATAATAATTTTATATACCCTCATAGCCATAGATAATCTTTCTATTCTTAAATTTAAAGGATCTAAATCAACTAATTTAAGGAATTCTTAATGAGAATCATGAACATCAATAGCAAAAGTTATTGTTAATGGTTCTTTGGTCTTAAACTATTAATAAATAAATACTCTTTTATTAGTAAAGATGAATTTATATTCTCCTTTTTCTGGAATATCAATTTTAAAAATACCCTCTTAAACTCTTTCTTTTGAATATAATAATGTATTATTAGAAGTTTTGATATAGAAATCTATTTTTTGATCCAATCTAAATTAAGGAATAAAATAAGCTCCTCTTATAGTAGTAGGTTTTGCGATTGTTTCATATAAAATCTATTATTAGTTAATAATTTAAAATACTTCTGTAGATCCAGATTATAATTCAAAAGTAAGTAAATCTTCAGGATCAAAATCATTCATTAATTAATCCCATAGTAACATTAAAGGATCAGATTCAACTTTTTTAATTACATTTTCAAATTCATCATCTTAAGTTAAAGGTTTATCTTGTTAATCATAATTTTCTTAATCTGATTCCTCCTCAATTATTTATCCTTCATTATCTCTCTCTTTATCCTTATATCTAAGCTAATATTATATTAATATTATTTATTTACCCCAAATAATGGTCTTAATGCTTCCAATAACTCATAAAAATTTTCTTATGCATCTTCATCAGTATCTGTTTATTCTTCACTATCTATTGATTCATTCTCTTCTTTTTCACTTTTTGAATTTTCATCATCAGAATTTTCTCTATCATTTTAAATATATGTAGAATTTATTGCCTCTTATTCTTACTCTTCTAATTTCTTTATATTTTCTAATGCTTCATCTCCATTAGTATTTACATCAATTATATCTTAAGCTAATACTAAACTACTTGCAAAGAGAAACAAAAATATTAATTTCATCATTAATATTATTAATATATATTCATTTTGCAAATTGGACAAATTGGATTTCTCTTGATCCAGTCATTCAAACATTATTTATGATATCTATGCATACATTAAAGTAATATTATTTTCTCATTCTCAATATATTCCTCTTAACATATACAACAAATCTTAGCAGATGGAGTTAAATTGCGTTTATTTATAAAATTATATTCGATTAAGTTAGCCTCTTTTTTAGGTTACTCTGCTTCCTAATTATTTATTTCTTCTTAACGCAATCGATTAAATTATTCTTAATAAATATCTATTGTCACTGGATTAGGTTAATTAGTAAATATTCTTTCAATTTAATGATATTCATTTGAAATTGCATTACCTAATCTCTCTACATTTCTTTGCATTCCTTAACTAAATCCTCTAATTAATTTGGTTCCTGCATTAACAAATTATGTTAAAGCACCCTATTCTTACTATTAACACTGCCTTTCATGCTATTAAAGCTATTATGGATCCTATTCTTTAAAATTTTCTCAATTATACATTTTTTACAATGTTTACACTTAGTTTCAAATCTATTTTATCTCAAAGGACCAAATATTGGGGGTCTTCTTGATTATGGAGGATCCATAATAATATATAAATAATTATAATATAATTGTATTTATATATCTAATAAGTATTCTTCATTAATAACATTGTTTGAACAATGATAATACAATTTTGATATATGTTTAAGTACTTTTTTAGATAAAAGAATATATTGTTATATGATTATATTAAATGATATCGAAATTGATTGTTTATTAATCTTTTTCTATTGATTTAAGATAACTATATATTGATAATTCGATATATCAGTAAAGAGAAATAAAGATTTTATATATTAAAAAATTATAAAGCAAAATAAAAGGAGATAGTTTTAAATTAGGAAAATAATCTCCAAATTATTTTATGATGTTGAAAATAAGATTAAAGTGAAATATTGAAAATTAGTGTGGAGATTGTGTTTTGATGAAATTAAATATAATATAAAAAGGTAAGGGATTTTTGATTATAATATATTTATGCAATATGAATTGATTGATAAAAGTAGATGAATCTTTGAGTAGAAAGTATAAAAATACTATAAGAAGGAATGATTGTTTGTGAAAATATATATGCATCAGTTATTAATTTAAATAATATGCAAGCATAAGCAAATGTTTATTAGTTTGAAGCTGAGCCATAAGTATCTCATCCAAAATACAGAGATTAAGATTTATATGAAGAACTTACAGACCTACCTGATGATGAATCAAAAATAAAACCAGATTATTATATTGATCGACCTGTATGTGTAACTTAATAGTCAAGCCAACTCCTGAATATAAACCATTACCTAAGGGAAGAGATGTAGAAACACAGATTGAATCATATGAGCCTGATTTGTTTGATTACATATTAGAGGTGGAGCCTGTTTTATAAGTTTTAGTGGGCAAATCTGTAGAATAAGCAAGAATGGAATTGATTGAAGAATTAGAAAGAGAAGAGTTAAGAATTTAGAAAGCAGCCTTTGAAAAAAAAAGAAATGCTGAATTAATGGTAACTTAGAGAATGGAAGCAGCTTATGTTAGAAGAAAAGAAGAAAGAGTATTTTATTATAATCATTATTTACTTAGGAAAGAAGAGTCTTATAACACAAATTATATTAAGATTAGATGAAACTGTCATAATAAAAATTTATTGCAAGAACTCTATCTAAAAATGTAGTCAAAGGAGTCAATTATAGAATTCTAAAAGATCTTGAAAATTTAGGATTATTGAGAAATGATTATTTATTAGAATTAAAAGTACACTCCTTACCATGGTTGATTGAAAGAATTAAATTAAATTGTCAAACTAATTAAAATTGTCTTGATAATTTTAATCATCTCTTAGATGAAGTTTAAATACCTATTACATCATAACATTCAAGTTTTTATTAGTAAGAATAATAAAGAAGAAAAGCTATATTAGACGAAAGAGAGAGAATTAGAATTGAAATTGAAGAACGTAAAAAGAGAAAAGCTGAAATTAAAAGAAGAAGAGCATTAAAGGAAAAAAGAGAAGTTCAAAGAGGAGCATTTTACAATCTTACAATATCTAAAGCAGAATCTTTAAATTCTATATTCTAAGCCAATATCTAAGAAGGCATCTCAGAAGTTGCATAAAAAGGAGTTGTTTTACATCTAGATTTATTTCTTTTATTAGCTGAAGTATTAGATTTAATCACTGGAGATTAATTAGATTAAATTGATGAATCTATTATTTAAACCATTTGGATGGATATATTAATGAATAAATGTAATACATTCAATGTAACAATTAATTCATCTCTTTAATCAATCATTTAAGAAGCTTTTGCTAAAATTGAAGAAGATTTATATATTTTTGAAAAAAATTCTAAATAAGCAACCATAGAATTATTAAAAAATTAAAACCCTTTTTGGTCCTCTTATGTTTCATAATAATATGTTCCTAATATTAGAAAAATAATATTAAATAAATTATTAGATGGTTTCTTAGATATTTACTTTAAATCTGTAAATTATAAAGAACCTAAACCCAAAGCAGAAGTTAAAATAAAAACAGAAGAAGCTGAATAATAATAATAATAAAACGATTAACCTCCTCCTTAATAAACAGAAGAATAGTAATAATAATAATAAACTGATTAAATTGAGTAATAGCCTGTTGAAGATGAATATCAAAAACCTGAAATTACATAACATGATTTAGATATGGTCGAAGCAAGAAAGAAAATCAATCTTATATTCAAATAACCACAAAGTTAACTTGAAAATGTAACAGCAGTAGTCAATTTGCTAGTACCTTATTTTGTTGAAGAATAGCCTGAGTAATAGTAAGATTAAGTCAACCAAGATTCATAATAATAATAGACTGCTGAATTACAATAATAGGAATCCCCTGAACCTATTAAACCTGTTGGAAAATGGGATTTTGATCCTAAAACAATAGATATTTATGATGGAGAATAACCGTTAATTTAAGAAGGCGAAAGATAAACTGTAGATTGCTTATTTTAATATACATTCCAAGAACAGGTAATTGTAAACGATGAAAGGGCAGTTGAGTTTAGTAGATTGTAAATTTATACTTATCTGAAAGAAAAGTAATTTTTTCTATTTATATTTAGATTGGAATCCTTTTTAAATATTCCAGAGTTTGAAAGTCTTTAATTTAAGAAGCTAAAATATTCCAATCTTAATGTTCCAATATATGATTTCGAATTATGAATGGCATTTGGTTCCTTTATTATTAAAAATACATAAACTATGTTTAAATTAATAATAATAGTATTATATATATATATTTCAATCCACTGTCCATATATATTTTTATAATTAAAATTTTAAGTTTTTTTAAGATTTTTAATTTCAAATTTGCGGAAATTTCAAAAAACCCTTAAGAAAAAGGATAAAATATAAAAATACATTTAGTCACTTAATAATTGATTAGATAATAATCCTAAATTTTAATTATATAAAAAATTACAATTAAATGATAAGAACCTTATGATGATAATTATGTATATTATTTAAGTTCATTTTTATTTATTATTTTCGTTGGAATTGCTAATAATAAAAATAATTTATAAGTACAGTGATTTTTATAATACTTATCAAAGAGCAAGTTTGCATTAATTTAAATATTCAAAATTTATGAGGATTATTCTCAAACATATACCCACTTATAATATTAAGCACAATTAAAAAAAATTGAAAACAGAGTATTATTAATTTGTTCTTAAAATACTTTATCAGAATTTACCCACTTATTTTATAATTTGTGTTAATAAATATTCTAAAAAAATTCATCAGATTTAGTATATATGTATTTTAAGAATTATAATAAATTATTAGATATACTGGATTTTATGGAGATTTTTAATTGATTTAATTTAATAAAAATATAATTTAATTTTTTTTCTACAAATAATGATGATATAAGAATAAAATGTGTTTATACTAAATTGAGAAACCTTGAAATTTTGGTAAACTATCAGAAAAATTAAATTATTTGACACAGCTATTTAAGATATTTGAATTTTTATTTTTATAGCATAAGTAGTTATTAAAATAAAGAAATGGAATATTTAATAAAATATCTTAAGAGTAAAATGGAAATTAATTTTAAAGCATAAGATAAGAAATTTAGTGAGTAATTATGATTATTAATTGATCATAAATAGTTTTTTTTAGATGTTTAATATGTAATTGATATAGTTAACGAATAATAATAAAAATATTATATTATTTGAATAATGGATTAAACAATCTTGTAAAAAGTAAACAACTATCCTGGTTCATATATAAAGTAAGATTTAAAAGAAGCTGAAGAGGAACACAAGGCTCATAAGGAATTGTAAGATAAGAAATATGGATTATATTTTTTACTTTTTTAAGGATTAGTATATTTGATAGCAATAATATGTTTTGGATTTGGTAATCCTGATCAATTAGGAAAACCATATGATATAGATTGTATAGATATAAATTTTATAAGTTAATAGTGAATGTGTGTGGAGTAGATGTAGGATTGGAGTAATACAAGTTTATATATTTTACAAATCCGACAGATTAAAAACATTTAGTGAGAACAGTTTGTGTAAAAGAATGTCCAGTTTTGGCAGTCGAAAATGATGATGATGGTTCTATATATATAAATAAATTAGAATCATTGGAATTGGAATGTTATCCAAATAAGATGATTAATTCATGTAGAAATAGAGCATCAATTGATTATCCTACATTTACAATGTTATATTATGATTCAGTACCATTTATAGATATTTGTCTTCCAAAAAGGGCTAGTTATTTCAATAATATATAAGAAGGATTATAATAATCAGGCATAATTAGTTTTTTATCTGATATTAGTAATGGAAAGATAATAATATTTGCAACACTAGCTTTATGTTTATTGCTAAAGTAACAATTGATAAATTAATTTAATAAGTTAGCTTTTTTACTTTTTGATGATTAAATTATAGTAGTCAGCAATTTGGGTGATATCAATAACATCAATATTTGGTTTATTTTTATCAGGGACATTGGGTTTGTTTTATTATATGAAATAATCTGGATATACTTAACCTGTAGGTATGGGAGCAGTTATGTTAACAAGAGAGTAAGCAATAGGTAGGATTTAAGTAGCGGAATCAAATATAATTATAATATTGATATCTAGTGTATTATTCTTATTATTTGGTGTATATTTTTTGATAGATTTAATATTAAATCGCAAGACATATAAAACAATGGGAGTCAAAATTTAAATAGTAAATTATTTTTTTGATTTTTCATCATCTGGAATTCAATAATAAGAAGGGTAACCATCTAGATTTAGAGAGATTCTAATATTATTAATGGGTAGTGCAGGATGTTTATTAATATTTTGTGCATTATGGGTTTGGATGGCAACGTAAAATGAATAAATATAATAGTAATCTATTTTCGATTGGAAAAGCAGTAGAAGGATATTATGCATTTAATACATTTTAATTGAGTTGGACTACATTTATTATGGGATTTATTCACATTTTTGAATTAATAGTGGTGACATTAGCAATATTAGGCAGTGAGTAGATGTTATTAATTGGGAAAGTAGTAGAAGTGTATAAACATATGGGAATTCACAGATAAAAAATAAATAGCTAAGATCCAGAATTATCATTGATGAATATTTTAGAAATATTTGCATTTAATAATTTTGGTTCTGTAGTGTTTGGAGAGTTTCTTATATTTTTATTAATGATTCCTAGATTATTAATAAGAATATATGTATGGATTAGATAAAAGAAGAATCCTTAATTTGAAATATCTGGTAGATTATAAAAAATATTATGCATAAATGAAAGAGCTTATTTATTAGCTTATTTGAGAAATGATGAATTTTTAATGAGTGCAAAATCTTAATATGTATTTGATAAGAAATTGAAAGAGACAACTTAAGTTTAATATCATGGTGAATAATTATCAGTAACATATTGTTTTGCTGTAGCTAATTTATGTGTTTCATTAACTTACATATTAATTATAGCAACTAGTGCTAATATAGGAATCCATTAACCAGTTTATTTTTTAATTGTTTCATTTATCTTTTCTTATTTTGTAAACATAGATTTAATAATGTGTAGATATCTGCTATGTTTTCAATTGTATACGGAGCAACAATAGATAATTTGACGATATTATTATATAGAGATACAACAGATGATGGTAAGATAGTAGGAAGTTGTGTAAGAAATGTAGTAAGATTAATGTAAGAATCAGATTTAAGTGAATAAAATCCACAATAATAATAATAAAATAATAATAATAATGGATAAGAATGAATAACTATAACAATACATAATCTAATATACAAAAAATAATAAATAATCAATTATTATGTTCTTCTTCTTATAATCCTCCTTCTTCCATATCTTCTTTATCTTCTTATTCCATCTTCTATATTTCTTCTCTTTCTTTCATACATAAATCATCTGTATTTTTATTAGTACACTATACAATATTAAATATAATTACATCTTCAACTTTAGGTCTTGATTCTGGTGCTACTCTACTGCTAAAATGACTGACAATCTATTGACTCTCTTACATATCCCAAACAAATAATTCTCCTTAACTTGATCCACAACCATAGGTCCATGGAGAGTCTTAATAGAATTGACCACAATAAAGTGATTCCTATATAAATTGATTAAATATTTTACTAATTTTGGATTATATGAACTTATTAATTATAATTATCCATTCTTAATAGGAGCATCTGTATCATAAACTCTGATTTTACCATCTAAACATGTAGTAGCTAATAATCCTGGCACTCCAGTACTCATATGAACACTACTGAGTGCCTTCTTATTTACATTAAAATTGGCTAATGGTTATTCTCCTATTTTTCTAGCATCTAATAATATCAAATTTCCATCTTCTGTTGAATATGCAATCTAATATCCTTTAATTGGATCCCAACAAGCACTTTCTAAAGATCCTAACATTTTATGTTAATGAATAGAATCTGGAGATCTTGCATCAAATAAACATAATTTTCCATCTTCACCTCCTGATAATATTACACTTTCCTCTTTTGTATTAAACTTTGAGATTTATACTTTATCTTTATGATGATTGTAGGTAAATACACATTTCTATAACATTAAATCCCATAATTTAACTGAATGATCTGCTGATCCTGATAATAATATATTTGGTTTAAATGAATTTAAAGATAAACTTAATACTGAATCAGTATGACTATCAGCTTTATATGATTTCTTATTTTATTTCTTTAAATTTTTAACTTTCTTATAATTTTATTCAATTTCACCTCCTAAAACTACTGATGGTTCTAAAACATTAACTACATCTAAATTCCAAATTTCTATCTCTGGTAAAAATGATGAAACAATTGCATAATTTCCTTTTGTTGCAGATGTACTCTCAACTTAACCTGGTTAAATTGGTAACCATTCTACTGCTAAAGGAAATGCAGATAATTGTATTTCATGATGAACAAATAAGTTTGCTTTCTCTTCTTCATATATATATACTTCCAAAGATGAAAACTCATTTTCCTAATAATATTAATACATATTTATACTATCTTTGCTGCTATAACCAATGCATCTGATGATTTTATTTGATAATCTTCTTTTTCTTCATCACTTAAATCTTCTATTGCCACTGGATATCCATCATCTGGTAATTATTATTTTCCATGCATCTCCAAATCTTAACAAAATACTGGAAGATTATCCCCACTTGAATCTTCATCTTGCTCTTGAATCTTACCCAAATCTTATGTTAAACTAAAAACACTTATTAAATTAAATACTTCTTGTTTATTAGTTTATCTTGCTTCATCTTATTTATCTCCTCTTCATCTATATCAAACTCCTTTGGTTATTTTATTGCATAACCCCTTGAAACCCATGCTATTGCTGATATTAAATTTTATGCCATAAATTATAAATTTTTATTATTATTTCAATTCAAATATCATTACTCATTCTCATTAATCCCTTCTTTATTTAATAATGTTCATAACTACTCTTGCAACAAGGCATCGAAGAATCCAATAACATTGCACTCTCAATATCATGTAATGCCTATATATATTTACCATTCTTCAAATATATATTCGATCTCTTTTTAAATGCTTCTGAATCAGATTTGTTCTATTGTAAATAATCTGTTAACTTCTCTTCTGCTTAACCATATTAATTTTAAGATATCAACATATCAACTTCTTTCATTAATGTATCTCTATCATAAACTTTACCTACTTCTTATTCTTTCTATCCCTCTTACATTTTTTTATTATTATTATTTACTATATTATTTATAAATTATTCATACCCATTTCACCTTCCTATTTCCATTAATTTCTATCTTTCAAAAACGTTCCTTTTCAATTTCATAAACTCAAATACTAATCTATTATACCCTCAACATACAATAAAATTTATACATTATTCTCATAATAAATTAAATATGATTAATAAATTCTTATAATATAGATTTATGTAACAAATCAACAAAGTTTCATATTTAAATTAGGTACAATCATAACAATTTGATGTTGAATTAATGTCTGATGAGGTAGGTTTTACTTTAGATTAATTAATGGAATTGGCTGGATAAAGTGTTGCAAATACAGTAGTTTAATTAAATAAATAAGGTAATTCTTATAATAAAATTCTGGTGCTATGTGGACCAGGAAATAATGGAGGAGATGGTATTGTTTCTGCTCGGCATTTAAAATAGTTTGGATTATAACCTGAAATAGTATTATTTAAAGAAGTGAAAAATCCATATTTCAATAGATTGCTTAATCAATGTAAATACAATTTAGTTCCAATTCATTATTAAATTTAAGATTTTGAAAAATATGATTTATTGATTGATGCAATCCTTGGATTTTCATTTAAACCTCCTCTTAGAGAACCATTTGATAAACCTATTTATTAATTTAAGACAACAAAAACTCCAATTTTATCTGTAGATATTCCATCTGGTTGGGATGTTGAAAAAGGAAATACTTAAGATCTCTTTAACCCATAATATTTGATTTCATTAACTCTTCCTAAACTAGGAGTTAAGAGTTTTAAGGGAAGACATTTTATTGGGGGAAGATTCATTCCATTAAAACTTTAAGAAAAATATAATTTTATTGTACCATAATATTAAGGAAGTGACACTATTTTAGAATTATCGAATTTATGATAGTGATAATAAAAGTTCATAATTTTAAATCTAAAATATTGGACTTTAATTTTTGATCCTCTTAAAAATATGCTGTTTCACAATACATTGACAAATTACTGTTCTCTTTATCCTATTGAGACTTTCTAGTGTTATATACATATGTCGACAAAGTATTTGCAGAAGGTTTTAATTTTGGTTCTGACTATACAGAAACCATAGATTAAGGCTTATAATTTTATTTGCTTTAAATATTGTTTTATGATCTCATATTGATATTTGGTTTGAATGTCAATTCTTTATCAACTTCTTTTTTTATGTGATAAATATTTCTTTTCTTTTTATCAACATGACTTTTCATTCTTTCATATAAAGATTCATTATTTTAAATTGATGATTAATCTTTAGTTTTATTAACTATTGGTTTTTATTGACTTTCATCAAAAAGATTTTTTTTTGATTTGGTTGATAACATATATAATCGATCAAAAGCAGGTTATTAATTAGGAGATAAATTTAAGGTAGTATTAATTTTTGGTTTGAATGTACATTATTCAAGCTCTTTGGTTTCTTTATCAAGTCTTTAGAAAGCTTAAATTTATTGTTTTTCAGCAGATTCATTATGCAATCTTTTAAAGACTAAATAATATTTAATTATATATACTATCATCTCCGCTTCTATTTAATTATCTATGAGAAATTTAAGGTTTAAATGTACATTCTTGTAATTCCTTTTGTTCTCGAATAGGAGCATAGCTTGATTTTAAATTACTTCTTGAGATTGATTCTTAAAATAATCTATCAAAAATTTATGGCTAAGCTATTTATCTAAGTTTAAGTTATTATTTTTAATTACTTATTTTCAAAAGGTTAAAAGTTTGAAATCTATTCTTATTTATTAATTGATGGTGTAAAAGTGCATTAACTAATTTCCTATTTTTGTTTAAATTCAGAAAAATCATTTTTACTTACTAATTAAGTTTGATAGAGTCGATCAAATACTTCAACATCATTCTTTTTTATTCCTTCAACATTAACTTAAGGTTTGAATGTACATTCTTTTAATTCTAATTGTTATTTTTCTTATTCATATTATCCTCTATTTCAGTTATTATAATTATACTTTTTCACTTTCTAAATAATTCCTTCCATATAGAGTCTTTCACATGTATCATTTAAACCCATTTAACTCAAAGCTTTTTTATTAATTGGTGATTGATATGATTATGAATTGTTACTTTGAGATTTTTAAGAATTTCGAACTTTATTAGGGCTGAATTGCATTTTAGCTCTTTTTTAATATGATTGCATTAATTTAAAAGGTTAACGAAGCGCTATTTTATTAAGAATTGTCAATAAGTTTCCAGGATTCTTTTTTTTAGTTTATTACAATTTCCAACTATCATATAATCTCAATGACATATCAAAAGAATCAGATGCTGATAGATTCTTTAAATAATCAGAGAGAGAAAATAAAATGTTATTCTTTGAGATTGAATATTTATTAACGATTATTCCTATTTCAACTAGATAGTCAATAAATTATGGCATTTAATTAAAATTATAATCATTATATGAGCATATTCATAAACTTTTAACGTCTTAACTCTAAAAATAATTTTCTATCTTTTTTGCATTTGAGGAATCTTGCAATTACTTTACAAGCTAAAAACTTTTCTATCTCTTCATCATATTATTATTATTATCTTTTTCTATTCTCTTTCAACTTTTCAATAATTTATTAAGCATAATGTTCTTTTTTATCTAAATCCTAATGATATTAATATTCCTATTACATCTATCATGTGTAATTATTAATCAATCTTTTCTGATAATTGCTGTAAAGTTAAGCGAGCTAATATTAATTCTTCTCGCCTTTTTGAATTAACTTCAATCATAATTTTTTCTTTTTCTCTTGAATCTTATAATAATTTGTATATTTTAGCAGATTCAGCATCATTTTCTATTAAATTTTTTTATAATTCTTCTCTCATTCCTTCTAACTCCTCTTTTCTTTCTTTTGCATTTTTAGCTCTATAAATAATTTATTTTTTTCTAGTTTTTGAATTATAAGTTAAAGTGCTTTTTGAATCTGTCGTAGTCTTATTTTAAATCTATTCTTTTTTTTTCAAATTTTCATTTTATTTCCATTATTTTTCATCATCTATATTATTAGTTTCCATAACTTTATTCTCTTCATAAACTTCAAATCCATCTTTACCATAATCATCATCTTCTTCATTATTTTATACTATTTATTATTATTTAACAATCTTTTGTTCAATAATTTATTCTTCATCTACAAAATCATTCTCATAATTATCTTCTTCTTCTTTGAATTTCTAAGCAGTTTCAATAGGTTATAAAGAATTATTATATTGTCTTAATTACTCTAATTTAGCTTATTTTTATTAAATTTCCATTTATTACTATTTTAGAATATCTTCTTTTGTTTATTTTACATTTTTAAGTGAAGAAGCACTTTATTAAGTCTTTACTTTTTATAAAAATTATTCTCTATTTACTTTTTCGATTGTTTAAAGTCTTTAGTTTTTTTCTTAATACTTCATTGCTTCTTTTATAAAAAATTATTCATCAAATTCTTCTTCCCAATCGAAAACACCTATAACTTCATTTTTAACAGGTTAATCTAAGGACTTTTAATTTATTTGTTATGGCTTATTAATTATCTGTTATATTGGTGATTTCATTTTAGAGACTTTAGAACTATTAGTTTATTTACTGAGTTATACATCAGAACCAGAAATGAAAATATTTGAATGAATCACAGGAATTGTTTCAGATATATAGGTTTTCCCAAATTTAATTACATTTGAAGTATTTTTGAGTTGTGATTATTTATTTGGACTAACTTAAATGGGTTCTTTCTTTTTTAAGTATTTATGTTTTTCTTAAGGAGTCATTAAATATTTGGCTTAGGCACTCATAGGCCTTTATGAAATTAATTTTGGTGTTTGATTCTTTTGTATTTATTCAAACTTTCTAACATGATACATATGATCTCTCATTTAATCCATAAATTCTCTTGTATAATTTGGTATCTATTGCTCATCAAATTAGACTTCATTAAAATCGAAATTTAATGAAGGTTTCATTAATTGATTCATAAATTTATTTTATTTATATTTAAAAAATGCAAAATGTACGATAATTTGTTTGAATTATGGTTAAACAATTCTAGAAATAAATCTTAAATTGTATTATAGATATGTATGAATTATTATGAAATTACTTTTTCATCAAATATTTTTAGTATAAATATCAATTATAAAATATACTTAAAAGATCTTAATCTTTTTCAAGATTAATTGAAAAAATAATTTTACAAAATCAATTAAATGGAAATTTTATTTAAGTTTATTTTTTCTATTTAATTATAATAAATGAAAAGTAAAAAGAATTTTATTTATATATATTATTAAAATTTATTTGCAAATGAATTAACAATTAGATGACTCAAAAGAAAGTGTTGAATCTCAATCAATGGAAAGATACTTACAAGCAGAATCAGTAGGTAATTCTCTCTCTCCTCAGAGAATGGTTTAAACATCAAGGAATCCTTAAGTTGGAGGATCAATATTGAAATTACAAAATGGAAAATATAGTAATCCGTAAAATGTCTTCAAGGACGCCCTAAATAAAAAAAAAACAGAATTGCATAAAAAATCATAAAAATCTGTAGTAGAGGTTTCTAAATGTGAAAAAGTTATTATATAGAAACAACCAAAAAGTATTAAAATTATAAATTTAGAAATGGATAAAGTATAATAAAACATAAAAAATATATAAATCAAAGCAGAAGAAGTGAAAAAAAAGAGAGATGAGGAAAAATAAAAAGATGAAAAATTGAAATAAAGTAAAGTTGAACATGCAAAAGAAGATGTAGATGAGGGTAATTTAATGAATATAATTTTAGTATTTTAAGAGACAGTAAACAGATTATATAACTATGAAAAATAGAGATTGAAGCAATTAAATAAAATGAAGGAAGAGGAAAAAAATAAGGAAAAATAAATTATGAGTGCAAGACCTATGATAAATGAAAAGAGTTGTAAAATGCTAGAAAGAAAATTAAAATAACTTATAAATGAAGAGGAAGACTATAAAATGATATATTAGTTTAAGGATGCAGATATTTAGGTTGACCTTTTGCCTAATTTACCTAAATTAAAAGATTACCTCTAAATTAAGTAACATATCATAAATATTTATAAATAGTGCTAAAAAGTCAATGAATGTTTGTTAAGATATTTAAATAATTAAGGAAGAAGTAATAATGGAATAAATCGATCCTGCTGAAGATGTCTAATATAAATAAGGTTAATGTCATGCAATTGTATAAACTAATGAGATAAAATATAAAATTGGAGATACCATTAAAAAATAAGAATAATAAACTATTTAATAATAGTAAACAACTTAATTTGCAACCCAAGATACTCCAAATAAAAAGGTACAAAATTAAAGACAAAAACGTTTAGAGTTTATGGAAGGGTAAGGATAGAGGATGAAAACTGAATGTTAATATTATGTCCCACTTCATATTCGTTAATAAAAAGTTATTTAAAAAAAAGAAGAATGGGTTAAGTCCTAAATTGAACAAAAAAAATAGAAGGAGGAAGAATGTATAAGAGCAGAATAAGAATAGTGGGAAATGGAAAAATAAAAGTGGTCTAAAAAGAAGGATTAAAATAAATCAATGTAATAAGAAATTAATGTTGAAGAATTTGCTAATTCATAAATTAATTGGTTAGAAAAAAGAAATGAACATATTTTGACAGAACAAATAAAAAAAGATAAGGATATGCAATCTTCATTAACATTTAGACCATAAATTCAAAAAAGAAATATTGAAAATTACAATACTGTCAAAGTTGAAGATAGATTACTCGAATATTAATAAAAAAAACAATAAAATTTACAAAAACTTGAGAATAAATATTTACCAACCTTTTAACCAAACATTAATTAAAAAACTGTATTAATTATTTTATATTTAGATGTTTACGATGGATTGGGCATCAAAAAGTTTCAATAATACTTCTTTTAATAAATTATGGTAATGACTGTATATATTTTTATTTCATTAAACTACAAACAATAACTTATTTATTAAATCATAATCTAATTTATATAATCAGATATATAACTATTATAATTTTATGCAATATTAAATGTATTTTTTCAGTCCTAAAATTTATTGTAAACTCAAATTTTAAAACACAATAAACTAATAAATTATGATTAGATATTATTGATGGGGGAGGTTTTTAATAATTTATATGAATTTGAATTTAAGATATTCTTAATAATATTATCAAGAATGAAGTCCATATTTATAGCTATTATATTGACTGCTGTTATAGCTAGTACATGTAAAATATTTCAAGAACATTCATTTCATTAGTAAAAATATTTTAGAGATGAGGAAATTCCAATTAATCTATAATGTTCTAATAATATTAAATTCAATAAAGAAGTTACTCTTCATTAGAAAGCCTGCTCTACTTAACATGGAAATCAAGAATTGATTACATTGTTCTACAAATTATTAACTATATAATTCTGAAAAACAGCTTTGAATGAGAATAAATTTATTCATTTTAACATTACACAAATGATTACTATTCTATTTGAAGATGGAATATATAGCTATATTTTTAATTTTGCCTTCTTTTAAAGGCTCTTAAGAATGAGCCTTGTTTTATAAATTAAATTTTAATTTCCTTAATTCTAATTATATAATACATTAATCTAATATAATATAATACAATATGATCATTCAAAGGAATATATTTTCTTTTAAATGACTTATTCTATTATTTATAGATATTAAAATTGAAATATTTATAGATCCCTATGATTAAAGTCCATAAACTGAATTTTATTCTAATTTTTTGATCAATGAAATATCTATACATATTTGGAAAATTAGTTTGATATACAAAAATTAAACGATTTATGGTATATAATGATTCTTTGAAAAATTATATGATAAATTCATTTAACTTATTCAAGAAAATTTAAGCGCTCTTAAAATGGAATCATAATGTCTTTTATTTTCTTAAATGTAGGATTAAGGAAAGTGCCAACAAGTGAAGCTCCTTTAGTTTTTTCATGATAAAGCCAGACTGCATATAAAGTCTTCAATAGTGAATATCCTGGAATCCTTTTGAGATTTAAACAATAAATACATGAACAAGACATCAAATGATATTTATTCTAATAAATATATTGAACTCATTAAAATCCAATATATAATCCAGGTTGATAGTTCATCTTTTAATTTATAAGCTTAGTAGGTCTGCTTCAGTGGATAAATAATACCTGCTATCAAATAAATGAGACAACAATATATGCAGGCACTCATAATTTAAATATTAATAAATTAATATTAAATTCATATCTGAGAAAAATATTTAACTCTCTTTAAATATGGTTGAGAATTCTTATCACAGAATATTAAAACTTCAACATGAAGTCTAAATTTAAGAATAAAAAAGGAATCAGACTATAGAATATTTTAAAAGTGTGATTTATTAATATTAGAAAAAATATAATCAGAAAATTTAACTAAAAATAAAAGATTTTGATTGAGTGAATTTTGAATATGCTCGAAAATGAATAGAAATGAAATGGAATATACATAAAAAGATTGAAGTAATAATTATGAATTTAAAACTATCTTATTTAATATTTATGAATTTGTAAAATTTCAATCACTAGATAATAGTTATTTTTTTGGTTTTTCTAAAAATAAAAGGTATCTAGAATATATAATTCATTTAAAAATGAGTTTAATGACTGAGATTAGATATTAAAAAGGTAAATAGTTTTAAAGTAAATTCATATAATGAATGTGAAGAAAAGTTAAAGTTAATGAATAAAAGATAACAAGAGTAATATAAAAGTGAGAAGAATAAATAAAGAAGTAAAATGATAATTACAACTATGCAGTATTTGGTTAAAATAAGGTAATTAGTCATTGAAGTGATTCCTATATATCTACCAAATTAAAAAAAGGGATTCCAAAAATTAATTTATTTTATGAGTGAATTAGAGTAATATTAAGAGGAGTTAGCTGAAGTTGAGGAATGGTTGAAGATAGCAAAGAGGCCTAATAATATAGAGTATTTGAACAAGAGGATAAAGTTCTTAAGGGATTCTATTAAGATACTTAAACCATAAAAAGTTGAGTAGGAAGAGTAGATTGAGTAATAGATGCCACCAATAGATGAATTAAAGTTTGAGAAAATAACTAAATATGCTTTTGAATAGGAAGAGAATAAAATAAAAATAATTATCAATATGGATGGTATAGGAGAATTACCTTAAGAGAATATTTAAGTTGAATTTGGAAAGAATTGTTTTGATGTTCGAGTCATAGGATATCACAATGCTAATCATAGGTTTTAATATATATATATAATTTATTATAAAGGTTACAAATTAATAAAACATTTAGTGGTTTTCTTCACAAAATGAGTAGTTATAAAGTAACAAAAAATAATATTCATATTACATTAATCATACCTGATCAAACATAATGGACATAAATTAAAACAACAGAAAACATTGTAATATTAATATAGTAATATTAGATTGATTAAAAGAAGGAATAGAAAGAAAAAAAGAAATTAGAGAAAGATGGAAATTTAAATGAGAATATTTAAGGAATTTTCAGTATGTTGAAGACATGCTATGAGAGTAATGATCCTGAAATGAAAGAAACTGTTAGAGAATTCGTGAGATAGACCGCCAATAAGTAAATGTGGAAAAATTGAATTTATTAATAAAAAATAAATAATAAATAAATATATATTTATATATGACAACTGATTTAGACAATGATCTCTATAAGGAAGATGTTGACTTTTAATATGATCAGTTAGTCCAATTCAGTCAAAGAGACAAACTTCCTTTTCCTAAATAAGATGATTTCATAGGTATTAATTAAGAAGATCATATTAGATTATGAAATTAGAGATATTTTACATGCACCAACTATTAAAATCGTTCAAGAAGGTTTATTTACTAGTTGGAGAAGATATGTCAGATTGAATAGGTTAGCATTCTATAAACATTGTCATGAAAATGACTATAGCCGTAAAAGTAAATAAAAAATTATTATCTAGCTAAATTGATACTTAAAAATAAAGCTTTGGAACCCGAGAGACCAAAAAGAGAAGGATAATTATAATAGTGTTATAAAGGTTATTGTTTAGTTGAAGACTTTATCAAAATTAATTTCAAACATATAGACACGAGGGAATTTGCAGATTTTTTAAATGTTATGGGTGTTATTAGACCAAAAGTATAATTAATTAATTATCTATAAATCATTCGTAATACATATGTTAAATTACCAATCTTAATTGAAATGAGACATTTTTAGAGTATTTATACTCATCAAATATTCACTCAAGAAAATGCGGCAAATTATATTTAATTAGCATTTCGAAGATATAAAAATCATATGACTGAAGTTTAAAAATAAATAAGAATTATGTCAAGTCTTAAAGCAGAAGAATTATTTGCTATAATTAAAGATAAAATTAGTAAATCAGATAAATCACTAAAAGAAGTATTTGAAATATTTGATTACAACAAAGATGGACATATTGAATTTAATGAATTTCTATAAGCTTTCAGAGATTCTAATATTCCTGTTGCAGAGGAAGTCTTATAAACTGTGTTCAAATATTTTGACATAAATAATAATAATTCAATCTAATATATGGAGTTCTTGAGTAAAATCTAAGTTAGAACTGTCTCTAATGAATCTTTATTAAGTGTTTAATTTAAAGTAGAATAGACAGTAGAATAATTAAGATAAGTTATGATGAGAGAATTTAAAGATTTATAAGAAATGATTAATTCACTTTAGGCATCTGATAGATTAAAAATAAAAAAGATAGAATTTCAAGATTTTGTGATGACATACACTTTACGTTTCTCAAAAATACAATTAGACAATATGTTCCATTATTTAGATCATAACAATAAAAATTATTTAACTATTGAAGACTTTTCATAAATATTTACTAGACAATCACTCCATGAAGTAAGAGAAGAGAAGAAAGAAACTAAATAATAAGAATAAAGAGCAATTTAAAATATGTAATCTGAAATTGATAATGCTAAATTTCTATATCATTACATTTAAGCAGAAGAAATGCAAGGTTTCATATAAGAAAGAGATAATCAACTATTAGATTTACTCAAGACTAATACGCAATAAAGTAATGCAGGAAAAAGAGTTAGTTTTAGTATGGCTGATATAGAAACTAGGGCTAATATTTATAAAAATTCACTATTAAAATTAGAAATTCTAATTCAATAACTATCTAATAAAGTACTCTTGAAATTATAATAATCAGGGTTAACTGTTAAATAATTCTTTAGTTAATTTACTTAAAAATTTCCTGAAAAATTTATTGAACCTAAAGAATTTCTTTTAATGCTTAATGTTCTTTTCAATTAAGTTATGGATGTGTCTCTTTCAAATGCTTTATTTAGAATCATTAGTAATTAATATACAGCCCGTGTAAGTTTAGCTAAATTTGAAGAATTGATTATGATCGGATAACAGATAAGTCCAATTCAACTTAGAATGAAATTTAATTATGGAACATATGTAGCTAAATTAAAACCAAAACTATTAGAAGAATTCTAAAAAATTGCTACAGTTAGCTTAGATATGAAAACTGTTACTCTTAAATAAACTTTATCTATTTTAAATTAATTTGGATTAAAATTAGAAATGTTTGAAATACAAAAATTAGCTGATTCATCTATTATTAGTCTAAAAGATAGGATGTATACAGTAGATTATGGAAGATTACTCTAATTAATGTTTCCAGATGTCTATCTTGGAGAGTAATTGGTTCTTAAGAAATTTGGTATGGTCATTTTAAAATTTTGGAGAAGAATTAAATAATCTTATTTTCTTAAAAAAGCTTCAGGCAAATTCAATAAGAAATAGAATAAGAGACAACCTAAACCATTAGGCACTAAAAGATCACTTAAGGAAAAAATGAGTGAAACTTTACCTGCTGTTTAAAAGTAAAATGAATACACAAAAATTAAGAGTGGAGACTTATATTAATTTGCTAAAACTATAATACTTGAATGTGTTGAAGGAGCTGTATATTTTGCAGAAACATAAATATTTACTCAATAAAAATAATAAACATATCAAAAGAGACCTACTATAAAAGATTTATTTATTTTTCATCCTTTCTAATCGTTTGAATTACCTAATCTTTTAGGAACATTATCATTTGATTATTTAACTTAGAGATTGTACATGCCTGATAAATAAAGTATTCTTTATACTTAAGATATCTGTGGTAATAGAATGTTGTAAAATATTAACATTGGTACTAAAATTCCATTTAATCGATCCTTTATTGTAGATTGTTTAATTTTTAATCAAAAAATGTTCATCTTAAAATCAAATTGGTAATTGTAGATGTGGAGTATGTCATAGAAAAGTGATAGACATGATTTAGCTATTGATTTAAGAGAAGGAGCTTCAAATGCTTAATAAAGTACACAACATTTATGGTAATGTGAAGATTTATTGATTGTTGTTTCAAGTCAAAGAACTCATATTCATATAATATCATCTGTATCATTACATATAATACGAATTGTGAATTTTGTTTGTATTCTGGATTATCATTTTAAATATATGAATGAAATCATGAATAAAGTTGCTACCAAATTAATCCAAGATACTAATAATAAGTTTCCAATTAAATTAGAAATGACTTTAGTAGAAATGGAATAGTAAGAATAAAAAAGAAGAGAATCTCTTAATTTTATGGTACAATTCAAGGATTCAAGAGTTCAAAAAGGTAAATTATTACATTTTTTTACTAACAATTAAACTTCAGATAAGGAAATCGTGAAATAGTATTTTGATTAGATTTGTGATGAAGAGGGATATATTAGTTAGTAGTAATATGAAGAAATATTAAAAGATAAATAAAAAAATAAATATAATATATATGATGCATTAAATATAATCAAAATATCAAAAGTTAATTTAAGATAACTTTTTAGTACATATGATGATGGTAAGAATTTGGTTACTCAAAAACAATTATTTGAGATGTTAGAATCTTTTAATATGAAACCTTAAGTAAGATAGAATTTTGTTTGTGCTTTTCCTAATGGTATTTCATTTTAAGATTTTAGTAAATTAATTGAAAGTCCTATTACTTATGATGAATTATTATATAGGTGTGAGTCAAATCGTATAGATTTAGTAAAATTATTTTAAGAATGTGATGTTTATAATGTAGGTTTGTTAGATAGAAATGATTTTTATTTTGTGTTATCATCTTTACCTTTTGGTCTTTTGGATACAGAAATAGATTAATTAGCATCTTAACAAGTTTATGATTCAGAGAGCGGTCGTATAAAATATCGTGAAAAACCCTAAGCAATGAAACAAAGGGTTAAACAAGTGTAATATATTAATGATCTTAATATTGTAATTACATCAGTATATTATCCTAAAAGAGGAACAATATTTTGTTTAAATGATAAAAATATATTAGCTTTATTAGAATATCACAAAGAAGCTCCAATTCTCTATTATGTTAATGAATCTGGATGTCTATTAAGTGCTGAAGGTTAAGATTTATGTATTTGGACTATATATAGAGATTTGACTTTAAAGTATGATGTAAATCCTCCTTGGATTATTAAACCATAAATTTGTATTAAATTAAATGCATAAATAACTTAAATTGGATATTTAGCTTATAATTAATTAATTATGGTAGCTACAACTGATGGAATTAATTTTTATGATCCTGTAAGTTATCAATAATAGTCTTCGAAAGTATAAGTTCGTGTTAAACCAGGATATTATAAGGAATTAGAAGAATTTACAACAAATTAATAAGTTCCAATGGTTCATTAATTAGAATTATAAAAAATAGTTTCACTTAGTACAGGATTATTGTAAACTCCTTTTGAAAGTGAAGATGCTACACTTGGTAGTACTTTATTAAGTCTAGAATTTATGATAATTATGACTGAAATACCTATGGGTCAAAATTCAAAGAATTTACTTAATCCTGTTAAAATAGTTCTTGTACATAGATAATCATTAGAAATTCCATCAACTTAATTAGATGTGATTGTTCCTTAAAATATTTTAAGTTAAATTTAATCTGATTTAGAAAGAATATTATAATAAGCATTAATGGGTAAAAGAGCTAGAGGAGTTATTGGAATAGAAAAAGAATTAAATAAAGAATAATTAAAAATACATACAAAAAGATAATTAATTAAACTTAGCAAATAATTAACATTAAATAAATAACCATGTTAATAAGATATTTTAAATGAAATTTCACATTCATGTGGTGGAATATTGAGCTATTCATATGTTTATAATCTATTGAAATCTTGTTAATGTCTTAATCCACATAATATATCATTTGAAGAATTCAAATATATTGTATAATACTCTGAAGAGTATAAACCAGTTATTAAAATACAAAATCAAATTGAATCCAAATTATAAAATCTAATTAGAGATGGATAAATTGATTTACCACTTGAATTTGAATTATAAAAAGCTATGAGATTGAGTAATGATAAGATTTTAATGAAACATTAATTTAAAAAACTACTTATGAAATTCAAATCATATTCAAATGAAAAAGATTTAAATGAATTTGTTTAAAATGATTTTGTAAGTTTAAAAACTTTAATGGATAAATTTGAAAATGATAAATTGATTTATAAATTAAGAATGATATCTCGTCCTGATTAAATTATTAAAGAAATCTAAAAGTTAGGAATTCCTAGATAATTTCTAGCTAGATTAGCTATGAATGATGAAAATGGAGATGGAATATTAACTAAAAAATAATTTATGACTGCTATTTCTGAAAATTAAGCACTTTTTTCTGAATTTTTTGATTTATATTCTGAAAATCTTAATGATGAACCTATAATAAGAATGAAATAAATTACAAGCAAATTATTATCAATTTCAGAAGGATTATAAATTAAAAAAATGCTTGATACATTAGCTAAAGTTAAAAACACATTAATATATAGATAATTAGGTTTAACTCATCTTTTTAGAGTTAATGAAATGCCATATCATGATTTTTGTGATTGTGTTATGGATCTCAAAATACCAGATGTAACTGAAAAGGATGTAAAATTCTTAGCTGATTGTTTAGCTATTGAATCTAATAAAATTATACCATTTTAATCATTTTAACATTACTTACATAAATTAAGTGCTAGTGATTAATTTTTATTAGTTGCAGATTATGAAGATTTGTTACATACAGCTGAAGAAATTCTTTAAAATAAAGAAGTATTAAGATTAAAAATACCTAATTAATAACCTTGTTAACCATGGGATTTAAGAGGATTATTAACATTTTTAAATTTTGATAGTGTTGATAGATTTTTAATAAAAGTATTGGAAATGAAGGAATTTACATATGATTAATTAATTGATAAATGTGTTAATTTTGTAAATAAAATAAATTTGTAAAAAAAGGATGCTAAATCACATTAATCAGGATTACTATAATTAGTAACTGAGGACACTTCAAAAAAATATTAATCAGTAATATAATTAGGATAATTAATTAAATCTCAACCTTATAATTAAATTTAAAAAGTGTTTTAATAATGTATTTAATTAGATAATGACAAAAATGGATTTATTGAATTACCTATTTTTTGTAATGTAATAGCCTATAACATAACTGTTGAATAAGGATTATTAGTAAATTTTTAATAAGAATGGGTGACTTTGAGTAATGAAGAAAATTTAAATTATAATAGATTCTTTAAAGAATATGTTGAATTTGAATAGATTGCAAGTAATTAAGATAAATAAAATAATTTAAATCAATTATTTATTCGTTTTTCTTATGCAGTAAATAAAAGTGGGATAAATCTAGGTTTTGTATTAAAGAGATTTTATAATTATGATAATTAAGATTTTTTAACATAACCACAATTTTTGTAGTTATTAGAACAAATTTAATTGTAACTCACATAGAATGAAATTAATGATATAACTTAATTTTTAGGTGAAGATATTACACATGCAAATTTATTAAAATATTACACATTTGCAAGTAAAAATACTGCAATTGTTTATGATGCTACTATTTGGGAAGTTGCAGGAACTTAAATAAGTATATCAACAATAAACAAATTAGGAAAATGGTAATAATCTAAAGATTTAATGAAATCTATAGATTTTAAAAGATTATTTAATTAATATGAACCTACTGAGTAATAATAGATTATCAGATTTGCTTGTGTTGGATGTCGAGTGACGATAGAGGAAGCTTAGTAATTAGCAAAATCAATAAAGCTAAATTAGGCAGATTTATCTTAATATTTTGTTAATCCAATATTATTCTCTGAGGCTTTGCCTTAAATTGTAAAAACTAAAGTAAAAGAACAAGTTAGTAAAAACAGATTTAATGGATCAGAAAAAGTTGCTTAAGAACCATTAGATGATTAGATTACAGTTGTTTCGAAAAAGATTTAATAAGCTTTGAAAAATTTGAACACAACTGTTCTTAAAATATTATTAAATTAAAATATTATAGTAAATGTTAATGGATAATTATCTAGAAGTGAATTTAAGAAATTATTGGATTCCTTACCTTATGTTTGGACAATGAAAGATAAACATAATTTATATCAAAAATTTTAAGAACCAATTAATGTAATGGATTTTATTAGTTTATTTGATATGAGAGATGATTTATCATTCTATATTGATATCATCATCTAAAAATTATTTATGGGATTGTATAGATTATAATTAACTTTATATACTTTTTTCACATAGATTGGTAGGATAGAAGTGAAATAGTCTGAGTTATAAGATAACTTAAAATAATTTATGTCTGTTTGGGAAGCAAAAGCATTATTAAAATAATTGTTTTAAGATGAAACTTAGATATTAACTATAACTATATTTTTAGAAGCATTTCGTATATATGGATTTAATGATTTATAACTACTTATGAGATCAGGATTATAAGTATTGAATGATGCTACTATTGAAGTTTTATATGAGATAGAGTAAAGTGGAACCAATCAAGAATTGACAATTTAATAAATTTAATAATTATTCAATAGAATGAATATTCACATATCATTGTAAAGTCTTTTTTGTTTATTAAATAACTACTTAATGGATAAGAATAAAAAACATCCTATGTATGAATAAAGAATGATCAAATATAATATTAGAGAATTTCTATAGTTTTTATCTTAATAATAAATTGCTAAATCTTAAGTGAAATAATTCTATGAGAAATTGTAAGAATCACATTTATAAATATTTGAATTTTTTGCAGTTTGTGATTCTCATCAAGATTATGCTATTACTGAAGATGAATTTAAATATGGATTCGTACAATTATAATTACCAAGAATGGATAATATTTGGTTAGATTTTGAAAAAGTTGATATGAGAATTCCATTTTAAAATTTCTTGAAAGCATTTTTATAAACAGGTTGTATCTAATGGTAGGAGTAGGAACATTAAGATACATTTATAATAGCTATAAAGAAATTAGGAAATTTAAATGAATCTTTTATTAAACTAGCAGATGGAGATTAAATTACATATAAGAGTTTAAAACGTTGTCACTAAAAATATAAATTAGATATTTCAATAGAAGAATTGCAATTATTTTATAGTAAATTAAAACAAAGATATAAAACTTTAACTTATAAAGAATTTGCTTAAGCTTTGTAAGGAGAAAAATAAATTGAAATTATTCATTAAGCATTTAGTAGTTTAGTAAATGTAAAAGCTCGTGAATTTCCAGAAACTATGACATTAGATTAATTAAAATAATTTTTAACAAAGAAACAAATTCCTTCATAACATATTAGTGTGATTGTAAATTCATTTGAAAAACAGACTATTACAAACAAAGAATTGGAATAGAAATAATTAGATTACTCTAATTTATCTAATTTAAAAGAGTAATTAAGTAGTGAAAAGTTATTACAATTTTGTCATGCTATTATTAAGTAATTAAAAGGATAACCAAATTAATTTAGTAAAATATACACATAACATGGTTTAGGTTCAATAAATTAAATTACATATTAAAATCTTTACACTTTTCTAAATTATTTAGATGTCAACATAACTTCAGATATTCTAAAATTATTCTATAATACAGTTGATACAGAATAAAAAAATGTTATTAAATCAACTGAGATTGAATCTTTATTAAGAAGATCTTAAACTTAAGCAAGAGTAAAGACTTTAGATCATACAAAAAAGGCAGAAGTTAATGAATTATTAAGAAAAGGTATTAAAAATATTATTGCTACTATTCAAAGTAAGAAAATTAGATACGATAAATAGTTGGATAAAATTGAATTAGCTGAATTTGTCAATTAATTTTGTATTCTAAATGAACCTTAGATTGATTTATTGATGGAAGCTATAAGTGATAATTCTTAAGTATAGAAACCAACTTGGGGAGATTTTGCATGTTATATGATAGAGGATAATTAATAAAAGGCTAAAGTTTTTTTTAAAGAATGTTTGGAATTATTTTAAGATATGCTTCGTCGATTAAATATTAGAGTAAGTTGTGCAGTTAAATATTTTGGATAGTAAAGAATTTTTATAAGAGAATTTATTCATATGATGTTAAGTCTTGGATTTAATCCTTTAAAACTTAAGCTTAATTATAAGAAAATAAAATTGATATTTGAATAGCATGGAGGTGATGAAATGAGTGATTTAGAATTTTTAATGTTAATGAGTGAATAAGAAGGACCAGGAACTTAATTAAGTCAACCAGTACTTGAAGTATTAATGAATTTATATCGTTTTGCAATAAAAAATCAATTATCAAAATAATAATTGTACAATTTGATGAATTTGAATAAATCTGGATGGATTTAAAGTGAAGAATTAGAATAAGCAATTCATATGATTGATCCTTAAATATAGTTGACATAGATTAGGGCTTTAAGTTCTTACTTAACATAATAGGATTAACTGATAAAAGTTGGGAGTCTAATTAAATTGATATATATAGGAGGTTCTCTTAATGATAATTCAATAGAAGTAAATGCTTTTTTCACTAGAGTATTTGAACCCTCTTTATTACATGAAATAGTTTAATTAGAATAAATAGGAACTGGATTTGATGGTTTAGTTCCATAAATAACTATTTCCTTGTAAGATTTCTTCCATCTCATTCCTAAACATAAAGAGTAAGATATTGCTTTAATGATAAAATCTTTTGGATTAAAATAAGATTAATTAGATTTAGAGAAAATATATGAATGTTTAATTAATATAAATGAAGATTTAAAAGTTGGATCTAAATTATAATGTAAGGAAGGAAAATAATAGTAAATTATAGAAGAAATGCCTCTTGAATAAAGTGTGGTATTAAAATTTTAAGAATAAAGAGTGTAATAAAATACATTGAAAGGGCAATATGAAATGGAAATAATTGAACACATATGTGCAATTTTAAATTAAAATTAAATGTCTTTAATGAAATCAGTATTTTAAGAGAAGGGGTATTTGAGTGCTTAAGAGTTCTAATTATTACTTAAAAACATTGGTGTTTGTTTAAGTATTGATTAAGTAAGGGCATTGATAAAATTATTTGATTTTAAATCAGATGGTAATATCTTACATTATACCGAACTATTATCTGTAATTGAATAATAAGGATATTAGATAATTAAAGATGAAGCACAATAAGTAAATGTTTATAATAAATTATTATAAAAATTCTTTGCTTTAGAATTTGGAGATCTTAATTATAATGAATAGATGACTGTAAATGAATTTTATAGATTAATATCTTTAGAAGGAGAAAGACATCCATTTAATGATAGTGAATTTTAAAGATTGGCTAATCTATTTACATAGTAAGGAATGATTCAAAAGAATCTGATTTTAAGAATTCTTGGTACGTAAAAGTAAAATTTTGTTGATCATGATTTAATTGATAAATAATTGTTGAAGAACATCTTTTATAGATTTAATGGATTTGAATTAGTTTTAAATTGTATTAAAAAGATAAGGGAACTCTTTAATTAAAATATAGATTCAATAAAATAATAAGATGATAGTGGTTTGATGTAATTATCTCTACAAATTAATGTAAATAGTATATATTTGAAAATTAAATAAATAATGAATTACATATTTAATGATATTCAATTAATATAAGCTGGAGTATTTAATTTATTAAATCAATAATTTTAAGCTTAATATATATAGCCTCATTTAACAATTAGATCAGAAAGAACAAAAATGTCTTAAATGTAATTATCATTGACTAGTGTATTTTTGACACCAATTCCTGAAACATAATTTATACCTGTACATATACCATAAATTGAAGGAAAATAAATGTATTAGATGTTAGGTAGAATAGCTGCTAATAATGCACCTGTAATAGTAGGTGTATGGACAGTACCTATTTTATAAACAGTTTGTTATGATGGAGTAATGTTAAAATAACATATTATGGAAGTTCTTAGATTTTAAACTATTTTAAATTAGACATGCAAATTATATGGAGTCTGTGAAAAAAAAAATAATATGGGAGCAGAAGTTCATGCTTATGTTTAATTTGAAGGAACTAATTTAAATACTGTTTGTTAATAAACTGGAGGATTACTCAAAATACCTTAATTAGTTTTGAGTGGATAAATGATTTATATTGCTAAATTATGGTTAGGATAGATATTATCTATTATGTGTGATATTTAAAATTATGGTTATGCATTCCCATTAATAAGAACTGAAATATTTTACATTTTTAATGATTAAGTACATCTAAGTGAATTAACAGGTATATAATCAGTTAATATCAATAAATTTTAATCTGGAATTGATATTAAACTACTTGTAGAAACTGTATTGTAATAAGAATACAAAGATCTTGCTTTAGCACCTGAATTTTATAGTAAATCTATTTAAGAAATTACAAACATGGCTGATACATGGTCTTTTGGTGTAATTATATTTGAATTATTGTTTGGACATAAACCTTAAATTATTAGTAATTCTGGTTGTTATTAAGGAGATAAATATCTTTAATTAATTGAGCCATCTGATTATGAACAAGGAGATTTATTATAAAAAGAAGTATTTTAAAATCTAAAAAAAGAATTGGCAGATATTATAGATATGAAAAATTAATCAATTACTTAATAGATACTTTTATAATTGGATCAAAAGTCTTTAGGTGCATATATAAAACATTTATTTAAGAATGTTAATACTGATGAATCAATGCTAAATTAAATTTCGGAATTGGTTGATTTAATGTGTTCTTGTTTATAATATGAACCACATAATAGACCATAATTATAATCAATCTAAAAAAGTAATATTTTAAATGTAGATTTACAAAATGCAAGATAAATTGCAAGACCAATTATTAATTATAAAAATCCAAGGATTATTTTTGAAAGTTAAATTTATTAACCTTCAAGATAAATTTCATTAGCAATAGTAAAGAATAAACCGGTTGAAATAGAATCAATTGTATAAATAATTAAATTATTTAATTAAACTATTTTATTGAGTATAATGGATGAATAGAAATTAGATTTAATAAGTTATCTATTCCATAGTAGAGTGTTAGACATTTTAAATTTTATAGTGTTAAATTTAAATTATAAATATGATTTACCATAATTGGTTTAATAGTTTTCATAAATATTTATTGAACTTCAATAACATTTATAATAATAGGAATCACCAGCTAGTTAACATGTAGAAGCTATTATAACAACTTTAGTTAAATTTACATTAGGAGAACCATATAGATTAATAAGTGATAAAATGTTTATGGCTCCAGAGACAGGTTTCTTTTCAATAAGAGAAGATGAATTAGATCATGAATTTAAAGATAAGAATTAATTTTATTCTTATTGGACTCCTAGTATTTATAAAATAGTTGCTCCAATTTATAAAGATATGATAAGTGAGAGTGGAGTCGGTAGTGGTAATATGGTTGCAATTAGAAATTATATTTAATTATGTACAGAAAAATAAGTATCACCATTTGATATGAATAAATTTTCTGTTAATGTTGCTCCTGTTAAATATAATACAATTGCACGTTCATCTGAATATTATAGTGAAGTAATGTCAGTATCAGATTCTCATCTTTAGATTGCTAATTATTTAAATGGGTCTTTTAGTAAATCTTCAGTTAAAATTGCACTTAATTATGTATCATCTCTAATTAAATCAAATAAAATCAGTAAATTACAAGTCTTAGTTGATAGTAGAATTACTAATCTCTTAATTTAACTAGTTACTGATTAAGAATTCAGAACCAGTGTTTTGTAAATGCTTGCTCATATTACTATTGCATTTCGTAATGAAGTTCCTACAAGTTTAAGAATTGAACATTCAAATTAAGGATTGGTTCAATAGTATTAATAAAATAATGCTGTTCATTTACTTAGAAATCTTTCTATTATCAGTCATATTTTAACTAATAAAAATAAATTATCTAATGAAAGATTTTTATCATTCCAACCTACAGAATAAAATTAATCAGAATCAAATAAAATATAATAATTAAATTTATATGTTGCAGAATTAATTTTTGCATTACCTACAATTTATTAAGGTCTTTTTGTTGATCTTAAGACTGACCCTGAATTAGTTTATAAAATAATTGCCAATTTATTATAATGGCCTAAAGTTGGTAAATATGCTTTAGGAGGTTCTACTTAATAATTATTAGTGGAAATGTTTAGACCTATGGCTTTATAAGCAGAACATAAAAAATCAAATAATCTTTAACTTAGTTTAAAATTATATGATGAAATCATTACTATGGCATTACCAAATACTATTGATTTAATTCATTAAAGTAAAGTTAGAATTATGTTATAAACTCATAATTTATTAGTTCCTGAAAAATCATCTTCTGATAAATTTGTTAAAATGTCTAAATCACTTAGTAATTAATGGTAAGATTAAAAATCAATCATAATTTAAGAAATTAGAGATTAAGTATCTATTTTAATGAATGGAAGAAGTTTAACAAAAAAATAAATACCACCAATATTTGGATAAATTAAATAAGCTCTTAAATAAATTCAAGCTTATGTTGTTTATACAAGTAAAGATAAATTATTAAGTAATCCAGAAGAAAGAAGATTTATTTATAATGCATTCTAAATGATTATGAGCATCTTTAATGATTTATTAACTTTTGGTTAATTACATTAAGAATGTTGTGATTTACTATAATCCTTAGGAGATTTTATTATGTATATCACTCTCATTTCACCACTCTTAATTTTTGATATTGAAGACATGTAAAGTACAAAGAATGCTATTATTTGGTTGAGAGATACTGTTGATTTCATTTATGAATTTCATATTGAATGGGATAGAGTAAACGAAGAAAGAAGAATGAGAATTGAAGAAATTAATAGATTAAAATAGGAAGAATAAGAAAAAAATTTAAAGTTTGTTGAATCTCTACAACAAAAATAAAACATATAAGAATCTAAAATAAATAAAAATGTTACATTTAAATTACCAAATGAAAAATCAGTGATCTAAAATTAGTAATAATCATAATCATAATTATAATCCCAATTATAATCTATTAAACATTCTCAATAAGTAAGTGTTGCAATACAAAATTAATCATTATAATAATCACAAATTTCAGTTAATGCAAAATCATAAATTCAATAATAATCATAAATATAGAAATAATAAAATTAATCTTAATTGAAAAATACAAGTAAAAGATTATAGGAACCTCCTAATTCATAATCTTAAGTTTAATTAGAATATGCAGTCAAATTAGAATTAAGGCCATACTCTTCTAATAAATTGATTTAATGTGCTTTAAATTTATTAAAATGTTTAACAGCAATAATAGACTCTAATATAAATTAATATTTGTAATTGCTTACATTTTTAAATATTGGAACTTGGTATACAAATTTGACTTTTAAATAATGGATTATTTTTGAAAGAGTTGTTGGTCCATCTTTAGAAGAAACACTTATAATAAAAAATTAAGTTGATGAATCTATGGTTAGAACCTCTTTATTTGAGGCAATAGGTAAGTGTTAAAATCATGGATTATAAGAGTAATTAATTAATGCAGGATTCATTAAAGGAATATTTAGTTATTTACTTAATAATACAAAATCATTTGAAGTTTAGAAAATAGTAAAAACACATTCATATGTACCATTCATACATTGGATGCCTTATAGACATGAAGCTTTAATATATTTTACTGCAATTATATGGGAACGTAAGAATTGTGTAAATTTTTATAATGAAATGATGATTGAAGTACATGCACGTAATACTCTATAAGAGGAAAGCAATCATCTTACTACAAAGGTTGATAATAAAAGTAAAGATGCTAATAGTACTATAATGTTCACGAGAGTTTATATGCTTTGCATTTTAATATCAGCAAATGATAGTGGACTATTATTTTTAATGGTAAATAATTTATTTATAGATAGAAATAACTTAAAATAAGTCAAAAACTATTACAATTATTTTAAACAAATGAAGATTTTAGATAATTATTCTAAGGAATTTATTAATATTTAGTCTCAGAGGAATTAGAGCTTTGAAGTATTTTTTATATGAATAAAATATTGAATAACAAACAAAATTATCATTAAAATAACGATTAATGAATATCACTCTGTGACAAAAGTCATTTAAGTGATTTCAAAGAGACTTTCCCTTAAAATAGGGAATGCTTAACTAAAGTGTTTATCATTGTATAAGTATTCTATAATTTCAGATGCTTCATGTAATAATTTAATTTTGGATAATTAACTTTTAACTTCATATAGTTTTTGTTTAATTTAAAATAAAGTTTGAATTTTATCTTATAAATATCCACCTAAGGAATGAGTATCTCCAACCAATTCTAAATATAGTGACAACCGTTAACAAGTGAAATCCAACTTTTAAGATGAATGTCTTTCATTTATCTTCCAAATCATGCTTAGTCTTCTTTATCTAGAAGTTTAACAAGTTCCCATTTAAATTTCTAGTTTTAACTTTTTTTTTATAGATTAAATTTATTTATTATTACTAAATTATTAAGAGGCTTTTTGAATTTAATTCAACTTCTTTTCTAGTCAAATAATTTATTTTCTTATGATACTAGAAGAACAAAAGCCCTTCACACCTGAAGAACTCTATGAATATCGTAAAGTCTTAGTAGATTGGAAATGGCGAGGCCCTGATGCAATTTATTATGTTCTTGGTTAATTATGTGTAAATCTAAAAACTTTTACAATTCTAGAAAGGAACATTAGAAAGAGAAGCAATAGTGCAAAGCAAAATTTATAAAAGTGTTTATATGCTTAGAGATTCTATAAAAAAAGCTCCAATTTCAGATATGGCCTTATATAATAAGGATTAAATTGCCAACATTTTGGTCTAAATAATTCACTTAGTTTTAGTTAAAACTTAAGTCCATTCATAACCAAATCAAAGAGATTGTTACTAAACCTTCTAAAAAAGAAACTAAAAAAACCATCTTTTCTGTTGCTAAATATGTATATACTTTAAGAATTTTAATTATTAGACTGATAATATTCCATTAAGTTAATCCAACATTTAACTTGGAGATTATCTATCTTAAGAATAAAGAGAAAAAATCAAAGCTAAATTATCAGAATATTTACACAAGTAATCCTAATAAAAATAATAATAAGAACTTTTTTAGGAGGGAAATTTGTAATCATATTTTAATATCCTTTAGATTAGAAAAATGTTCTAAATTAGCTGATGCTCTTGAAAACAATTTATATAATAAACATTATTAAACTGTGGCACCAGGAAAAAATTATAGTTCTGATTTAAAAACTTTGTATTAAGTACCATTAACATCTAATTCAAGTATTTGGGTAAAGATAAATCAGGAACAGTGTTACACAAATTACTTGAAGGTTTTTTTACTGTGAATTAGGCTTCTTAATTATAACTTAAGGATTGGCTTGATGAAGAAGTTATTAGAGAATTAGAAAATAGAAAAATAGTAATTTAATATCATTATTTATTTAGTCTGATATGAAAGATAATGATGCTGATTATTATAGATAAATTCGTATAAATGAAATGACTCAATCTAAAGGATAAGAATGTCCAAGATGTCATAATAATTATTTATATGTTATTGAAACTAGATAAATTAGAAGAGCAGATGAACCAGCAACTATCTTCTATGAATGTTTTGCTTGTTAACATAGATACAAAGTATGAATATTTCAATTAAAATAATCATTTTCTTTTAAATTAATTCTTATTTCAGTTTAAATTGATATGGAGAAATACATATAATTAAAATACTTTAAAAGTGATTTTTAAGTATTTATTTTTTGTTTTTAACTATTTTTTTATAAATTAAAAATGATAAAAGAAAAATAAGTAAAATATATATAATATCATTTTTTTAATACAATTTTTAAACATATCATTTTACATGTGGATATTCATAAAAAGAGTTTAAGATTTAAAAAATTTAGTTTAACAACATAATCGCCAACTCTTTTAGAAGCATTAACAATAATAATTATATAATTGCTCCTTCTAGTATAATAACTGCAGTAAAATCTGTAGAAATGTATTAGAGATGATGTAGATTTTAATATAAAAATTCTTGCTTAAATAGAGGATTTGTTGTTTCTAATTTTAAAAATGATACAATTTTTCGTATAAGGCTGAAATTTTTGTGATCGATTACAATCAAAAAATTTAGTATGGATCTTGGACCTGTTTTAGATAGTGTTAACTATTTTTCTTAAAATTATTTGTGAAGATCTATCATTAAGAAGATTTGCTGTTAAAAAATTTCAAATAAACTGTTTCTGTAAAGATATTAAATAAAATGATCTATACATATTTTACTTATTCTATATTTAAATTTCTTTTTTATTTTATAAGAAATAATTAAAAAAAAAAA